CCTTATTGTCTGCTAAAGCCAACTGCATTATTAACGGTGTTTGGATGCAACGGCTAACAAAATAAACACTGCATTGCTTGAAACGTTCGCACTGACGTACTTACCTTGAGTATGTTTTCGAGCCTCAGAACTGACAGAGACATCAAACCTAACGTTTCTAACAGTAAAAAAGCTCCTCACATGTGTTATTTGCAATCAGAGGTGAGAGATTGCGTTTCACTTCTGAATAACTGTTGAAGTTCAATGCGATAATAAGGTGCTTCGAGGAGATGCGTTTGTTGTGGCAACAACATGTAGTCAATTTATTCGTTTTCAAGAGGTGAGCCAGTATCTCTTCCTGGTTCATTTGTGCGCCTATAAATAATTGCCGCGCTTGAGAGGAGAAAGGAATGGCGCATTAGCAAAACACGCAGCAGGCGGAGGGGAGGTGAGTGGGGTGGCATGCCAATTCCCTCCCCTATTTCATTGTGTCCCTCCGCAGATATGCTTAATTCTCCTTGGCTCGTTTTTTAATCCGAAGCCATTTCATTATTTACGCGCGCACATATACACACAAAGGGCTGTCTTGCTTCCCCTTCCTCTCCTGGGGAAGGAAACAAAAGTTAATTGAAATAAATGAACTGGGGAGTGAATCAGAGTTGATTACATCTTGCGAGGTAGGAAGTGATGTTGATTACAAGTGCAGAGAGAGCGAGAGAATGTAGCTGCGCCTAATAAAGAGACATGCTTGTCTGTTGCCTTTAGAGAAGACATCACAGCCCCTCTGATCCTTTCCAAAAGACTCCGTCCTCAGTAACAAAACCAAAAAAATAATAATTCTTGCACGCAGAGGACAAAGAAAAGCTCTTTTTTTAATTCGTTCATCACTTTTTTACAAGTAAAACTGTCAGGCAACATATTAGTATTTTCATTTATACTTTAGAGGAACTGTACACTATGTAAAATTAGTAGCACAGACACTGTACACAGGAGGGCTCAGAGGTCAGGATGGGCAGAACTTCAGTTAGTATAAGTAGCAATACCAGCCAGGTCAACTGATCAGACAAAATAGTCTGATTAAAAAAAAAAAAAAAAAAAAACGTCAATGCTGTTTCAAATCTAGCAATCTTGTCAATAGTTCATCAGTATTTTTGTTTTTTATTCATTTCATTGAATTACTACATCTATGGTGAAAATTGATTGCTTGAGAAATGATTCGTTATTCTCTCTTGAAATGATTCAGAGCTTAGTTTTTAACGGCAGCTGACGCTGAAACAGCTGTACTCTCCTTGCTTCCAATTCCTTACAAATGCCACTTGAACATGAATAAATTTAGGAACCGTTTAAATGACTTACAAAAGTGTTCATATTGGGCTGTTAAACATTAAACTTATTACATAAAACAATTAGTACTTTAAACGCACACGTGCTATTCCTTGTAAGTATTTGCGTGTATTGTTGAAAATGGGCCTAGAGCACCATCTGCTGTTAAAAACAAGCCGAGGGCGTCATCTACGGTTTTAAAATAAAACTAGCCTAGTGCACAATCACAAACTTGTCTAGAGTGCCATTAGTTGTTAAAGACTTGCCTTTAGCACTATCCAATGTTAAAAACTAGCCTAGAATGCCATCTACTGTTATAAAATAAAGCTATTTTACAGCACTATATACTGTTAAATACTTTTCTAGAGCGCCATCTGCTGTTAAATACTAGCCTTGATCGCCATCTATTGTTATAAAATAAAACTAGCCTCACGCCATCTACTGTTAAAAACTAGCCTAGAGTGCCATATGCTGTTAGAAACTAACCTAGAACTCCATCTAATACTAAAAAAAATATATATATTCTAGCGTACAATCTACTGTTAAAAACTAGCCTAGAGCACCATCTGCTGTTAAAAACTAGCCTAGTGCACCATCTGCTGTTAAAAACTATCCTAGAGCGCCATCTGCTGTTAAAAAACTAGCCTAGAGAATCATCTGCTGTAATGCTGTTCACACTAGACATGGAATGCACGGATAAATTGCGTTATTCGGGCGTAAATAGCCGCGTGAAAATTTAAGTTTACTCGATTCATTTGCGCGTCAAATTCACTTCAGATCAGATGCGGATTTGCGTAATGGGCAGGGCTTCTGTCAGCCTGGTGACTCTAGCTTCGTTGCTAAATGGCTAACATGGATTTTATTAAGAAAATAAGTTTTTATATTTTTTATGAAGGCTGAAAAACAGCGTCGATAGGTTTAGGGCCGTGTCTGAGTCCACTAGATCCTTTCAGAGATGCATCCAGCTCTATGAGCTCATAAACTCCTCCAGAAACTTAACCTGGATGATGGAGACTTTCAGTGGTGCTTCTGACTGAGCTAAGCCCAGTTTGAGTTACTGTTATTGGTGTAGGCTGGAGGATTCCCCCCAGGACACCAACAACAGGCGTACGTCACAATCACTCCCCCACAAGAGCAAGCTCCTATTTGGTTAACGTGGCGCAAATGTCCGCTTAAGTTCAGATTTTTGAACTCGAGTGATTTGAATAAAAACGCGCGTTAAGTGCATCAAATGCGCAAAACGGTCAATTCGCATCACGCCATTCGAATTGCGTCATTTGCGCAATTTGCGTCATTTATGCCGCAGAATGTCTATTCATGCGTTTGCATTGACTTAACATGTAAATCACTCACACTTAACGCGACTTCCGCATCTGGTGTAAACGCAGCATTAAAAATTAGCCTAGAACACCATATGCTTTTAAAAATTTGCCTACAGCACCATCTATTGTTAAAAAAAAACCTATCCTACTGCACCGTCTACTGTTAAAACTAACATAGAGTGCCATCTACTGTTAAAAACAAGCCTAGTGCACCATATGCTCTTAAAAATTAACCTAAAGCGCCAACTGCTATTAAAAACTGTCCATTCAAGAGAGAATAGCGATGCATTTTGAAAATCTTTGAATCAATACACACCTGATTTCTATGGATAGACAAATAAGCCTTATTTTTGAGCGTAACATACTTTTTAAAGAAATATGTGTACACAACATACATAAAGTTCTATAGCACTTTTATAACGCCAACCCGATTTCACCAGGATATGTTCCTGGATAAACATATATGCCAGTGTTTCTCAACCACATTCCGGGAGGCCCACCAGCTCTGCAAATGTCTCTGTAATCAAACACACCTGTTTCATATCAACAGCTCATTAGTAGAGACTGAAAGATCTGAAATCAGCCCTAGTTTTTTGCGATACTGTGATCACTGAACCCAACGTAAAATCAACAAAAAATCGAAAATTTTTGTGATCCTGCAACATTCTTTATTAATGCAAAATAATGGGAAAAAAATAATCTCATAAAACATCAATTTCCAAACCATGTAATTAAATCATATTTCTTTCAGTTTGCATTGAATTGTTTTACCTGACTTATATAGAAGTCGCATATGCAAAGCATGTGACATTTGAGTGTCTCTCAAATAATGACGTCTCACCTGCCCCCTCACAATCATTACATTACCTAAAGTGGGGGGAGGGCGGTTTTCAGCTTGTGCAGTAAGCAGATGCAGATGAAACGCGAGTGAAATGTGAAGTGACATGTTTATAGATAAATTACTTAGTTTAACTCTTTCCTTGCAGTTAACGGGAGAAAACACTTTCCTGCCTTTGACGAGTTTCACGACAATACGTGTTTTAGGTATTACAGTATGGGAAGCCATAACGCATGTCCTATGTGTTAAGATGTCAGATGCTCCGGGGAGTGAAATCTAAGAAAAAGTAAGATTGTGGATAAAAATAAGAGTTATTCCACCTTCCTTTGGTTCAATCCTACCGTTTCAGATCTTGTCTTGGCAAGAGACTAGAAAAAAGAAGCTTTATTTTTTATGAATTGTGTCCTTGTAATTGTTTCTGATTGCACGCCCAACATAGTAGGCTACTATACCTAATATGGTAAATACATGTAATCTTTTACACACACACACACACACACACACACACACACACACACACACACACACACACACACACACACACACACACACACACACACACATATATATATATATATATATATATATATATATATAAGGTGGAGTGCCTTAGTGCCCCACCAATGCCAATAAACAGCTATATCGCACTGCTACAAGTGTGATATTGCATTTATATAACAGTTTGACGGCATAATTGTGTATATAAAAACAAAATCAAACATGGAGAGTCTTAAAAACACGTTTGTATGAGGAACTACTTTCTTCCGCGTTGGATTCAAATAATAAGCTGACAGTTAAACAGCTGGGCAAGCATCTGTCAAAGTTTAGATTTGTAGTGTCTACCCTTTTACACAAAGAGTAAAGAGGCTGTACGGGTTCTGAAATGACTTAAATATAGCACAGCTATCAGCCAATCAGATTCGAGAACAAGACAGAAACGTTGTATGTGTATGTATGTATATATATATATATATATATATATATATATATATATATATATATAAATATATATATATATATATATATATATATATATATATATATATATATATATATATGTGTGTGTGTGTGTGTGTGTGTGTGTGTGTGTGTGTGTGTGTATATATTTGCAAAATTGTTAGCAAATTTCTAGGAATTACAGCCACAAAATCAGTAATTTTTTAATTGCAAAAAAAAAACACACACACACACACACACACACACACATAAAAAAGAGAAAAACTACGGGGTCTGTGTAATGGGTGTGACAGACAAAGTAGACATCAAAAATATGCAGTGCTGGTGGTCCTCCAGGAACGTGGTTGAGAAACACTGATCTATGTCGATCCTGGAAACAAAATTCCAGTCAGCCAATTCTCTGATTTTGGGAATAATTTACAGTTATGGTTGAGTTTAGGGGTAGGAAGTTGGTATGGATTACCTTTTCAAACACAAATAATCTTTTAGGATCAACATAGATGTTAATCTAGGATTGCATCGTACTTTGCAAAATCATGACGTGTGCTTCTACAATGGTAATGGCACAGAGAAACAGTATCGTCGGAATAACATTTGAGAACGATTTTTATTTCAGCTAATCAACAGCCAATCAGAACTCATCCTGTTTTAAAGAACTCAAGTGTTATGCAATAGCATGCATTTGGGACCATTTTGAGGCATGTAAACAAAAACAATGGTCCCAACGTATTTCCTGTTTTACATTTTCAATTTCTATAGCTTCCGAGAATTCAAAAAGAGCCACATTTTGATAAATAATGTTATAATCACTGTTTTTACATTAAGTTTGGATTGAATTGCCTCTTGTTACAGTTATGAAATAGTTTGATAACAAGCAGGAAAACAGGCCAATCACATCGCCACATTGAAATGGTCTATATACTGTAGTCATTGCTGTCATATCACTTGTGCAGTGAAAAGGCCTTTAGCCTGTATTTTGTCCATTTTTTAAGAGTTTACAGTTATAAAATGAATGTAAAAAGCATTTAATCTCAGCAATTTTGTGTATATTTACATAATTTGCCAGTCCGTTGACCTAATATAATCACTAATGATGAACAACTGCTAGATGAACATGCATTCTGCACCATATTGGCTGTTTATTACAGCTGTGTGTGTTTTTCTGAGAGTGTCTTCTCCCTGCATTAGTATTAAGCACCACAGATGTCTTCCCTTTTCCTTCCTCTGCCCCTGAGACAACAAATAATCATTACACATAGCCAAAAAAAAAAAAAAAATCTCTTTAGCACCACAATAGGAACACACAACAAACAAGACAAGACATACACACAATACTCTGAGGTTGATGATCCTAAATTCAATGAGTTTACACCAAAAAGAGAAGCATTATTTAGTTCGTCTTCAGTGTAATGCTGCTATGACGCCCCTCTCTTGATGAATTCTCATTCAATACCACACACACGCACACATATATATATATATATAGCAATTCAGCTGTGTGGAGCAAAGGTTGATACGCAAGCACCATAGAAACATGGATCTCTGACAGGCAAACATACTAGCCTGCCTGCTAACAAGACAAGCAGCTTAAGTGAGCGCACTACTTTACATATTAATAAGCAGCTGGGCTCCATTTGAGTCATGCACATAAACTGCTTTGCGTTTTGAAAAGCTCGGGCCTTATTTAACATTGTTTATGTATGAGCGTACACTGATTAAAGATGAGTAACACTGCAAGTTTGATGTGACAGGGGATATTCGAGCAAGGAATTACAAGCAGATCGGGGTGGTGTTTTCCTTGTCAAAACTAGTAAAGAGGTATAGCTTCGCCCCAGTTGGCGTCACGTTGCAGTGAAGGCAGGAACGCGGGTCGGCGAAATATTGACTCTTCAACATCGAAGCCGATCCCTCATGTGGCAAATTAATTTTGAACCATCGCTATCAAATGAGACAAACAACAAATGAGAACTGAGTAACAGGCTTTAAGTTCAAAAATATAGCGCGCGATGGGCTAAAGCAGCCTGCGGAGCGGATGACACAGAAGTGATGCATTTGTTTTTCAGTCGGAGCAGTTCTCGGAAATCTAGTGGGTCGCGCCTCATAATTTAATCCACAGGTGAGTAGAGTATAAAGACAGACAGAAAAAGACTCTTCCCTTTGATAAATGTGCTCAGTTGGTCCCGGTTGGCATCCTAGCGTAGCCATCGTGGAATTGAGGGATTTGGAAATCCATCAGATGTTCAAGAGTCATTTGAAAACATGCCACAAAGCCACCGCTTACACATTACTCAATAAATATCACTTGCAGCCTTGATTTCTTTCTTTTTTTTTAGCTGGTAAGCAGTGCAATGAGGCAGATCTGTATTAGCCGCTAAAACATACTGTTCCGACATGAAATCCGAACTTCTGGTTGTTACTCCCAAAGTCTGAAATGGCAACATCGATGAGTGGAAGGAGCTCTGATCGCGGAGAGTTGATCTGGAGAACGGTTGTATCTAGACCCTTTCGTGTCTGTGGAAAAAAGAATGAAACATGAGCTGAATGAATGACTTTCCTAGTAGTGCTGGGCAATATGAAGGTAAAATGTTACTGCAGAATATATTGTCAAATATAAAATATACAGTTGAAGTCAAAATTATTAGCCCATTTTATTTATTTATTTATTTTTTTTAGTAATGCACCTTCAACAATGCACCTTAACTCACCTCCCTTTACAGACCAGCATACCCATGAGTCCACAAAGTGGTGCAAATTGATTTGCAATTAAAAAATGTGACGCAAAATGTGAAAATTATAGCTGAGCTGGTCTGAAAATAGCAACAAATCGCTCCAAACACATATTGCGCCTTATTGTGTGCTTACTGTGTATGATAGAGCCCTTATTCGTTTATTTCAGCAGAATAAAAGCAGATTTAATTTTTAAAAAAACATTTTAAGGTCAATATTGTTAATCCTATTAAGCAATATTTTTTTTCGAAGGTCTACAGAAAAAAAAAAAAAAAAAAAACAGCTTGTTGTGCTCCTTGACATTGCAAACTGATATATTCTTATATAATATTTATGTAGAGTTTTAAACACTTTGTGGAGTGAGTAGTTTGACCGTTTTTAGTCATTTTTTAATCACAGTCCTTTCTCCCATAGGCAACTGAATTAGAAGTTTTAAAACAATCACAAAAACAAGTGCACTTCACAATAATAATGCAGAATAAGGTCAATATTGCAACATATTAATATGTGGGTGTGGCCAACACAGTCTTACGGAAATTCAGAACTTTTCGATTTAGTGGCTAATTGGTATGAATTGAAACATTCTCATTCATACCATTTAGTATGATTTGCTGATTTCCCAATGACAGTTGGGTTTAGAGGTGGGGTAGGGTGCCACATCTTCTTTTTAAAAATGTTAAATTTTCCAACGTCTGAACTCGTACAAATCATATGAATTATCCACTGAACTATCAAAGCTTAAAATAATTAAATTTCCTTGTGAGATCGGGCTGGTGTGGCTTACTCATGTGCAGTGTGTTTGTATGTATGTGTGTGTGTGTGTGTGTGTGTATGTTCTGAATTGAATGCTTGAAGTAAGACCAACAATCAGAGTTTAACTTTTGTGATTTAGTTAGATGAACTATTTTGGATTACTGACTTGAAACAACGAATGTGAGAATAGAATAACTGTTTACAATATCCCACATTAAGTTAATCAGCCTCTGCTGACCAATAGCATCCCCCAGTTCCTAATGATCACCCCGTAACACAACTTTTCTTTTGAGTCATCTCAAAGTAAATAAGTTAGACCGCTGCGTAAAACATATGCTGGATATGTTGGCAGTTCATTCCGCTGTGGCGACCCCTGATGAGTAAAGGTACTAAGCCAAAGGAAAATGAATGAATGACTAATTAAATTATATCACTCTTTGTATAGTTAAAACAATTGTTGAAACCTGATAATAGTATTAAATTAAGTTAAAGTAACATAAAAACACGTGTTGTCATTATTTTTTGTCATCAAAATTTTTACAGTCAAATACAAAAGTAACAGGAAGTTGTGTCAGAAAATGCTTATTCTTATTTGATATACTGATCAAAACATATGAAAATTGGAGTGACTTATTGAATATGACACCAATCTTACAGAGCTTAATTTGGTATCTGCTCTTATAATCCCTTTTCTTTACATTATCGCTCCCAAGCAGCCTCCCGCTGGCTCTTAGTGCTTGCTTTGCACCATGAGAAATGTACTCAGGAGGTGCTGTTACATTTAAAAAGAGGAAAAAGTTAGTTTTATGCAAGGACAAAGCATAAATTGGGGTCATAAAATCACGTCAGATTTATTATTTTTTTTTTATTATTTTTTTGTTAAGCTAACACTTATGGGGAATAAAAAGTGCAAACCTGACTCTGTAAATGAACCTGAAAATGAGCACTTCTCAAAAACACAAACAGCAAAGATCACTCATTTAAAAGGAGTTTGGAAAAATACTGGCAAACCATATTTGACATATCTACTATATTTAACAATAACATAAGAAACTTAATTGCAAAGCATTTTTGATCATTTTCTAGAATAGCTACCCATTTAAATAATGAATACTTATCCAATAATATCCATAGTATAATTTAAAAATATATCTTTACCATGAAGAATGGTAACCTTATGGTCATACCGCCCACCCTTGCTTCTTAATTGAAGTGCCTACTTAAGGCTTTTTATAGTGTATTTTTATTCTCTTGAAATCAGTTGCTGAGCATTTTGAGTCTGCATTAAACTCCTGCTGAAATAAGCTTATTTGGGTGCTATTTTAGAATTAGTGGCTTCTCATTGTTTTTAGCACCTCGTTTGCTGCAGACGAAAGACTAATTTAGTAATTCATTAAAACTCCAAGAAACTAAGAGTGGGAGTTTTTTATGTTTTTCCTAAAGACATGTTGAATGAATACTTTCTGTACGGATTAGTGTTTACAAACAAACAAACACACTGATGGCATTACTAAGTTCTTCAGACACCTAAAGTGATGATTAAAGGACTTTGCTGCCATATTCATGGCTGCATCAAGTGCAATGATATTATTGACCTTATTCTTCATGTATGTGTGAACGCAGCCATTGGAATCTTTTTTTGGCTCAAGGCTTCCTCTCTCATTCACTTCCATTGATTTTTAGACGTTCAAAATGGCTTGTTAAGCTGCTTAATGTTGCAAACTTTTAGTGTATAGTCATGGACACACTTGTTTGTAGAGCAAGCAGGTTGAACATTTTCTGGCATTTATTATTCCTAGTCAAGTTCTAAAACAATCATGGAAACGGGCACACTTTCGCATTAAAGAATAAGGTCAATACAGTGCCTGAAAATAGTCCCCAGTTTGGACCTTGCTTGTTACACCCAAACTAATTTCCCTTCAGTCTTAGTACATTATGTAGATACAAAGGAGTCAAGCTTTAAACAAGGAATTGATCAAAACTTTTCATTTTGGAATATTTTGAGCGGGATGCTAATGGTCTAATTCCGATTCAATGATTTATGCTAAGCTAAGCTAAAAGTGCTCCAGTCAGATCGGCTGAATGGATCCAAAAAGTGAGTTATTTAAGAACATATGATGAATAATTTTAATATAAATACACTTGAAGTCTATTGTTGTTATTCATGAAATTTCAAATGTACCTTTTTAAAAGAGAGGCTAGAAAAATTGTGAAGTTTTACATTATTATTGTTGTTATTATTATTATTATTTTCATTCATTTATTTTCTTTTTGGCTTAGTCCTTTTATAAATCCGGGGTCGCCACAGCGGAATGAACCGCCAACTTATCCGGGATGTTTTTACGCAGTGGATGCCCTTACGGCCACAACCCATCTCACACACACACTCATTCACACACACTCATACACTAAGGACAATTTAGCCTACCTAATTCACCTGTACTGCATGTCTTTGGACTTGTGGGGAAAACCGGAGCACCTGGAAGAAACCCACGTGAACGCAGGGAGAACGTGCAAACTGCACACAGAAACGCCAACTGACCCAGCCGAGGCTCAAACCAGCGACCTTATTGCTGTGAGGCAACAGCACTACCTACTGCGCCACCGCATCGTCTAATTAATACTTATTAAATTATAATTAATATCCTAATTAAATAGAAAATGAGATATATAACTGCAAAAATGGTCCACTCTTTGAGAAATAAGCACCACTCCTTTCACCAGGCTGTTTACGAACCTGCTTATTACCCTAACTTGTCTAGTAAACATAATTAACCTAGTTAAGCCTTTAAATGTCACTTTAAGCTGAATAGAAGTGTTTTAAAAAAATATCTAGTAAATCAGTATGTACTGCCATCATAGCAAAGATAAATAAATCAGTTATTAGAAATGAGTTATTAAAACTATTACGCTTAGAAATGCGTCGAAAAATCTTTAAGTTGAACAGAAATTGGGGAAAAATACAGGGAGACTAATAATTCAGAAGCGCTAATAATTCTGACTTTACTGGAAATATGAAATATAATGTAATAAAATATGACTGAAAAAATTTTAATAAATATAGTAATAACAACAAATGATGCATGATTACATGTAAATAACTGTAAACTAACCCTCATACTAGATTTAACTACAGAATAAGGCAAGCTTGTTACAACTTAAAGGATGCTTTCACACTTGGTTCAGTTGCCTGGACCGAACCCAAATTGGATTGTCCCCCATTGCCACCTTCTCAGCTGGTTTGTGTTCACATGGTCTTTTTATCCTTCTAAACCCCGGTACGCTCGCATCATCAAGCTGCTGCTAGGTGACAGCCACGAAAGCTCCAAAATGGTAATATACGCAAATCACTGTCATTCTGTTTTTACTAAATCTTTCGCTTTTGTTACCAAAACAAAAACACAGAAAGCTACTTGCGTATATCTGCTGCCAAAAAATATTAAAACCGTTCAGAACATCACATGTCTGCAGAAGTCGTTTTTGGTGGAGACAAGCAGATATTATCACTGTTTGCACTGAGTCTGTCCTGCTTGTCACCAAGGTAGGTAATACACAGACATACACACATCAATGAACTTTATATAAGCTAAATTGTGTTGTACTGTTGGTGGTTCACTTTCGTTATTTCGTATGATTGCATTCATATCAGAAAAGAACCATACCAGAGTTCACACAAACTCGACTCTAGACCACCTCTTTCAGGTGGACTCAGGTATGGTTCGAGTGTGCACTTGAGTTCAGAAGACATCGTTCATTCTAGCTAAACATGCCGAAATCTGAAGAACCAAAAGTGCTAGTGTAAAAGCATAGATATATACATTAGATGTCACCTACCCTGTTGTTTTCTATTAGAAGGAATACGTCAATAGAGCCGCCATTTTAGTATAGGGTAGCGCTCCTTTGAAATGAATGCGGGACCAAGCTGCAATGTAGGACTGTGCCCATCCAGAGCCAGAAAAATACACATATATACACACATGTCTATGATCAGGAGTTTTCTCGGAGGTCAGTGTGCAATTATTTTTTTAATTACGAAACATATAATTTTACATCACTTTTTTACATTGATGGACCAGTGACTACACAGGCATTCCTAAAAAAAAGCCTGTGTTTGTGTGTGTGGAAATGTACTATCCACCCTCCCTGTTAAATTTGATCTAATCCGTGTCCTGAAACACCTTCTGCTTTCACTTCTCATGCTGACAGAGGGAGCGATTCGTTTGTGAATGAATCTCCGTTATGAATAACTCGTTCACTGAGCCGACAATAATACATGTTTCTGGCACCGCAGCATCTCATTGTCATATTTCTTTTGCATTTGTTTGCTGATTTTATTCAACAAAACTACCACAAGGCCAGTGTTTAGTGTGAGCTGGTGCTACTTTGCCTTATGGTGAATGCAGTAAGTGACTGTATTATCATCAATAACGTTACCTGTTGAGGAGAAAAGTTCATAACATACAAAAACGTAAAAAACTAAATCTTATTTATGAAATGTTCTGCCTTTGTGCTTTGTTTTCTTTGTTTGCACATTACTACACCCGTAGACAGTGCTAAAGTCCAGCATATCCACGTATTAACACTGTCTTGACTAGTGTGGCTGAATGACACTTGTCCTGGGAGGACTGTACAAATATGGCGGCGCTACTGACACATTCTCAGGGTCCGTATGCGATATCTAGTGTATATATCTATGGTGTGAAAGCACCCTAACTAATGTTACTAAGCTACTAAATAAAAAAAATAGTCAGTGTAACCAAAAAACTGAAACAAACATCAAACTCTGAATGACTGTCGAACACCAGTGCTGTGCATTGTCAAGTCACTCAATAAAACACCTCACCTGACATCCATCATAAAGCGCAGTAATGAAGGGCGATTTGTCTTGCGTCATCTCCTCATCGTTGCTACCTCGAAACCGTAAGGCATGTTGATGGTTATGGTTCGACATATCGTACCAGCCGATGGAGTTCTGGCAGCTAAAGGTGAACGTCTGCATCGCTGTGGCACTGAGGAGCTTCAAGAAGGTCATCTGAACCACAGGAACTGGGTTTCCCTCAGTGTCAATGTAGGAGAACTGCATCATGGGTAAAAAAAGAATCACTCAGCTTAATCAAAGTCCCGTAGACATATTTATCGCACACCATCCAGGCAAACTCTTACAGTTTATTACTAATAAAGCCAGGTGAGAGTGACATCTGCCTACCTAAATCTTCATAACAAGGTCAGATGTCATGCTTCTCGAAGGAGACAGACCTTCGCTGTAAGTCTCAAGCATCATTTAATGAGTCAAGACGGATGGAGGTTGCTAGCGTGCACTCAAGAGAGTTTGGCCCGAGGCGCTTCAGATATAGCCGCATATAAATTCCATCATACCCCTTCTTCTAGGCCAGACAGAGCATTTATTTTTTTACTTCCATCAAAGACAGGCACTCATTGAGTGATGCATCTCAGCTGATTGCTTGACAGCTTAGACAGTCTCTTTCACTATTTTTTCACCACTAATTTGAGAGTAAAACGACTGCATAACAGCTGCTCTATTTATTGCATCAGACAGCACACCGTTAATAAACCATGCCCTTTTTTTTGTTTATCGGCTACAAATGATTGAGAGTCAAAATGAGTACAGATTCAGAGTTGGTGCTGCATACATGTTCGCAGTTGAAAGAGAAAAGTACCTGTTTGCCCTTTCTGTACTGGCTGTACCAACTGCCCGGTTTTTCTTTGTTCCAGGCGGCCAGCTTCACCTGTATTGAGAGACACGTAGACAGATCAGACGTGTTTTTTTTTCCTCCAGACCCCAGAAGGCCTGCTGAACTGAGACTGCATGAAGACGTGTGCGGTGTACGGGAGTATGGTCACCGTTTCAAATCGTTTATCTGGGTGCAGGCAGGTCTCCCCCTCTGCCGTGAAGTTGCAGAAAACCCTGATGGAGTCTCGATGACAGCCTTGGTTTGGGTCAATCCAATATTCACCTAAAAGGGGGAGGATCATTTGGTTAAAAACATGTTTGGCTGGGTAGAATAATGTGAGAATTTACAATTCAAAGTTTTTCAGAGGTTTTTTATTATTATATAAACACAAAGTATGTAAATTAGAATCATTACTGATGTCCTAAAACACAGTGTTACAATATTTGTCAAGGTCAAACAGCATTCACAACTAAGAAATCTTTAAAAATTACAATTAAAATGAAACTGATTGAAAATTAACTGCATGTAAATGCAAAAAAGGCCTTCATTTAGTTCAAACCATGCTATTTCACAAGAAATATTTTTAATTTCCGACTATCTAAGATGACTTATTTTATGGTGTCTATTATCAAACTTTTGCAGCTGTATTTGTGACATAAAAACTGATAACTGGGATATCTACAGAGCAATAAATTACACTAACTGACAAAAGTCTTGTCGCTTATCCAAGTTTTAGGAACAAAAAATAATAACTTGACTTCTAGTTGATCATTTGTTATCAGAAGTGGCTCGTATGAAAGGCAAATGCCTCTAGATTGCACTTATTTTACCAAATTAAAATATGATCATGCTTTGATTTTTAATTATTTGATTAGGTTTGATTTGATTTAATTTGATTTGATTATATGAAGTATGAAGACATGGTGCAGTGGAAAAATAATTAATATTGTGTATGACTCCAATAAGCTTGGATGACTGCATCCATACATCTCTGCAATGACTAAAATAACTTATTAATAAAAAGTCTGGAATTGCAAAGATAGTGGTTCTGTAGGACTCCCAGAGTTCATCAAGATTCTTTGGATTCATCTTTAATGCCTCCTCAATCTTACTCCAGACATGCTCAACAATGTTCATCTCTGGTGACTGGGCAGGCCAATCTTGGTATCCTATAATGTGGCGACTGAAGTATGAAAAGGAGAGCTATCCTGCTGAAGAGTTTGTGGTTTGTAATGTAATGGGCAGCACAAAAGTATTGATTCCTCAGGCTGTTAATGTTGCCATTAACTCTGCAAATCTCTTGCACGCCCCCGTACTGATTGTAAACCCAATCCATGATTTTTCTTTCACCAAATTTGACTGATTTCTATGAGAATCTTGGGTCCTGCGGGTTCCAATAGGTCAGGCATGTCAAAGCTCGGTTCTGGAGGGCCGGTGTCCTGCAAAGTTTAGTTCCAACCCCAATCAGACGCCCCTGGGCTAGCTAATCAAGTTCTTACTAGGCTTTCAAGAACCATCTTTGCGTGTGTTAAGCTTGGAGCTAAAATCTGCAGGACACAGAACCTCCAGGACCAAGTTTAGACACCCCTGCAATAGGTCTTCTGCTGTATTCGTGATGATTAGGATGCAGTTCAACACGATTCATCAATCTTCTGCCATTTTTCCAAACAATCAACCAGAAATTAAGTTATTATTTGTTGCTCTTACAACTGAGATAGATGACAAGACTTTTGCCAGGCAGTGTATGTTTATATCCAGTCTATAAAACCCTTATAATTCATTTACATTTATTCTCCAAAACCTTTTTGTTCTGTATCCTCTCTATAAATCAAATGGCTCATTAAAAGTCTAATGCATCAAGTAGCTTACAATAGGAACAAATCAGAGCACACTTTTGCTGTCATGTTTAGTCAGGAATAAAATAAAACAAATGTTTGGAAATAAATACTAAATGATGCCACTCAGAACGCATGTGAGAATGAGAGAGAAAGAGAGAGAGAGAGAGAGAGAGAGAGAGAGAGAGAGAGAGAGTACCACTTATGAAAATAGATGTGCATCAATGGCATCTGGTAGAAGTTTTGCAGTTGATAAAATGCAGATAATTAGAAGAGGCTTTGGCTGAATGTACACTATGTTGCGATTGATGTTACCTGACAAGGGTCACACATTGACATCATGGCTAAAAGCATAATCTATTTACCTTTGCCTGGCTCTGCAGATATTTTTTTCTGATTTCCATCTGGTTGACGCAACATTTTTTTCTGACACGGAAACTAGTTTACTAGTAGGAGAAACACTGACTGCCCTAAAATTCCATAAGATAGCCTGAAGCTGGGTGATATGACAAAAATCTCTTAACACAGTGCAAGTCATATCATATCTTTATAATGATATATATTACAATATAACACCTTTTCTAAAAATATAAATTAATAAATTATATACATTGACGACTATAAAAAGAGAAAATTGTGATTAAATATGGAAATTAATACAATAAAATTGTAAACTGAAATAAACCATTTCTTTTTTGTACATTTTAAATTATATACTTGAAAATCTACTTATTCATATGTGGTGTAAATTATTTAGTTATGCAAGTGCATTTATAATTTCACTGCTGACCTACACCTATGCTAAGACATGAGCCCATAATCTATCCATGTCATTAAACCTATTCCTAACATAACCCATAACACAACGTCCTTCTCATAGTTTATAGTTAGATTGAACTGAGTGTAGTTATAGTGTCTCCACTGTCATATTGGAGTGATATAAATCCAGCAGGTCTCTTTTTAACATTTCCTGACGTCAGAATAGGACCCAAATCTCAGTGATTTTGAGGCCCACCACAATGTGACATAGCAGTGCGGTTTTCCCCATCCACCTAATCGCGAGACGTCTTCTTTGGTCAATCAGAACAGTCAGACGCATTCATGTCCGCCTGGTTTATGAGAATAAAAGCCTGTGAATATATTTCCAGACACATTTAGCCGCTAGAAGTTAATCAGATAACGTTTATATGTTCCTTCTTAATGCCAACTATGTAAAAAATACAGATAAAATACTGATAATAAGTCGTTGTTTGTTTACCTTCAAGCTCTCATGCTTGTGCCCATGAAGCAGCTGTTGAGCGCCAGCACACACACATATCATGTACATCTCGACAAGCGAAAGTGTTTCTCTATATGCTTTCAACGAAGTTGTTCACAATACTGATTCATCCACAGAGTTTGTAATGTAGTCAAATGTTTACAAATACAAGCCCAGCCGTTTAGAGGTCATTTCTGATTAATGATGTCAGAATTTACCGGTATTTTGGTTTTTTGAATGGTCTTTTGCGGAAAAATTCTGTAACGTCCTCAACTGTGTAAACAGCGTTGTTTTTCATTTACCAGTAAAGTCGTTGCGGAAATTTTACGGATATTTACCAGTATTACTGTGTGGAAGGGGCTAGTAACATGTATACACACATCCACAGAGCATTTTTTTTTTTTTCGCAAACAAAAAGGGATTAAAATATCTGTTACATCTCTCTGTGATTTTTATAAGTTTAAACGTTTTTAAAACAACATAGACAGTAAAATGGCTATGTAAATCTTAACTGCTATAATCACTATGGCTGCATGGTGTCAGTAAACGCACACACACAGACACACACACATATCAAAGCAAACGGCATTTGTGTGAGACTAATTTCAGAAAGGCTTAAATAAGCTCCACCACAAATACATCGAATAAACTTACTTGGTATTTTTGAACAAAGAGTTGTACCTTAGCTTCATTCAAGTCTGTTTCATGCATGTGGAATGGTGGGCAGGAAGAAGCAGCTCATTTGGATTTAAAGCCACAGGCCACAAAAACAGCTACAATGTATTCAGACAGCAAAATGTGCATATTCTGGAGGCTATAATAAATAATCTGATGGGTATTTTGAGATGAAACTTTACAAACACATTCTGGAAACACCAACAACTTATCTTACACAAATAATGGTAAAATAGGTGCCCCTTTAAATCATGTTGGAAAAGAAATGCATCACAGTAACTAATTACAAATACCTAATTACTGGGTTTAGGCATAACTAATAATTAGTCAGTCAAACTTTACTCAGTATTTAAGCTTTTGTTATGTAAACATTACACACCCATTCTGGAAAGAAGCTGCTTATGGAATTAGGGGGCCCGACCAATGCCAAGAAGCCTATGTTAAGAATATAGCTCTTTTATAAATGTGTTATATGTTGTAAAATCTGCCTATAACCATTAGGATTTTAATGTTATTCTTTTCAAGCCTCGGCTGGGTCAGTTGGCATTTCTTAGTGGAGTTTGCATGTGCTCTCCGCGTTCGTGTGGGTTTCCCCCACAGACCAAAGACATGCGGAACAGGTGAACTGGGTAGGCTAAACTGTCTGTAGTGTATGAGTGTGAATGAGTGTGTATGGATTTTTCCCAGAGATGAGTTGCAGGTGGAAGGACAAAGAAAATTATTGAATAAATTAATTACTTCTTTTCAAAATCGGCAGCCCCCATAAATAGTAGAACGTTTGTGAGCTTGTTAAGAAAGAGGCTTTTTAAATTAAAGAAATATGTATTATTATTCAATATCATTTAATATTATTCAATTCATATGACAAGATTAGCCGATCATCATTACTATACAATGTGAAAAATGACAGTGCCGAATGTTTTTGCTGTTGCATCTTTAGTAACTTGTTCAATATGTTCAGTAGCGATGGGAACAATTTAATGTATTTAATTTTACATTCAGAAGATAAAGGTTCCACTTTAAATATATATTTTAACATGCAGCTTATTAACAATAATAATAATAATAATAATAATAATAATAAACGAATGTACAGAGAAAAAAAATATAGAAAGAGAATGTTTTGAGTTTCAATGGGGGCCATACCTGGAAGTCCAACCCTGCATCCATTACAATTAACACTTTTTTTTTTTCTCAAAATTCAATTGTCCTTCAGGCTTGTTTGAAACCTACAGGTAAGTTTGTTGGAGCAGGGTTGGAACTAAACTGTGCAGGGCTTCGGCCCTCCAGGATTTAAGTTTGACACCCCTGGCTTAAAGGAAAAATTGCAGCAAGACTGCAACATATCAGTCACAATATTAAGTTTTCACCACTAGAGGGTGCATATACAAAACAAACAAAGGTGTAGTTTGATGATATCGTGACCAAGTATGGAATCATGGGAGTTGTCAAATTCCTCCCATTTTACAGTACCCAGGCAGAAATCATATTCATGCATGAGCTAATGCAGTGTGTCTGAACTGGTGGGTCTTGACCTGAAAGTGGGTCAGCTCAACCATTTTGAGTGAGTCGTGAAGTGTTCTTGTGATGCACAAGGTTAATTTCGAAAGATGTGTGTGAAAGCTGATGCCACTTCTATCAGATGCGGTTCGTGAGGAAAACGTGTTCTTCAAAAGACCATTTCAGAATGCGTCAAGCATCAAGTTCATTTTAAATGGGAGAAATGCAGAAAGCTTAAAAATGTACACGCTGTGCTTCAGCACATAACGTCCTGCCGCAACAACATTAACCCACGTTGTTACCTTATATAACCCAGTACTTCCTTGGATAAGTACACATTAAGTACACATTAAAGAAATAATGCAACCAAAACTTAAAATTCTGCCAGCATTTATTGACACTTCACTTGACTTTCTTTCTTTCTTTCTCTTGAACCCTAAAAAAATACTTTTTGAAAAAAGATGGAAACTAATAAGTAGTAATGAAAACTAATAAAGGTATGGAACCACTTAGTGAGTATAAGTGAGTAAATTGTCAGCTTTTTTCTGTATCCCTTCGAGTAAAACCAAAAACGTATTATCAAAGTAAGTGCTTTTTTTAACAAAACAAAGGAAGATTTGTCAAGTCAAAATTTGAATATTGTTTTGATATACTACACACTCACCGACCACTTTATTAGGTACATCTTACTAGTACCAGGATGGACCCCCTTTTGCCTTTACAACTTTCTTAATTCTTTGTGGCATAGATTCAACAAGGTACTGAAAATATACCTCAGAGATTATCATATTGACATGATAGCATCACGCAGCTGCTACAGATTTGTCGGCTGCTCATCCATGATGCGAATCTCCCATTCCACCACATCCCAAAGATGCTCTATTAGATTAAAATCTGGTGACTGTGGAGATCATTTGAGTACAGTGAACTCATTGTCATGTCTGAGATGACTGGTTTCATGACATGGTGCGGTATCCTGCTGAAAGTAGCCATCAGAGGATGGTACACTGTGGTCACTGATGGACATGATCAGCAGCTGTTGGTACTAATGGGCCCAAAGTGTGCCAAGAAAATATCATTACACCACCAACAGCAGCCTGATACAAGGCAGGATGGATCCATGCTTTCATGACACTAAATTCTGACCCTACGATCCGAAAGTTGCAGCAGAAATCAAGAGTCATCAGACGAAGCAATGTTTTCCAATCTTCTGATGTCCAATTTTGTTGAGCCTCAGGTTCCTGTTCTTAGCTGACAGGAGTGGCACTCGATGTGGTCTTCTGCTGCTGTAGCCCATCCGCCTCAAGGTTCAACATGTTGTGCATTCAGAGATGCTCTTCTGCATACCTTGGTTGTAACAAGTGATTATTTGAGTTACTGTTGCCTTTCTATCAGTTTGAACCAGTCTGGCCATTCTCCTCTGACCTCTGGCATCAACAAGGCATTAGAACTGACGCTCACTAGATATTTTCTTTTTTTCAGACCATTCGCTGTAAACCCTGGAGATGGTTGTGCGTGAAAATCCCAATAGATAGTAGTTTCTGAAATACTCAGACCAGTCCGTCTAGCACCAACAACCATGCCACGTTCAAAGTCACTTAATTCACCTTACTTCCCCTTTCTGATACACGGATTGAATTGCAGCAGATCATCTTGACCATGTCTACATACCTAAATTGCTGCCAGTGAGTGTTTACTGAAAAAAGTGTAGTGCAGAGAAGAGCACATTTTGTTTTTTAAAACATTGATTCAGTTATTTAGATCTCAGCGGACTAGAGTAATGTTAGAGTCAAGAAAGTGTGTCATACAGTGGTAGTCTATAGCGTCTTCCACAACCAAACCCTCATTTCTGGCCTGCAAGATGGTGAATTGCATTGTGCAAATTCAATTCAGCTTAGATCTGCATAATTCCTTTCGTGAACAGACAGCGTATGCAAATAAACCAGCACAGGCACAATCAGCAGGCATTCTAAGTGACTCCCCCCTATGAAAGCATTGCATTAGCTATAGGGAAATGTGTGTAAATTCGCTCACCGTCTTTATAATCGGGGTGACACAACATCAGCTCCTTGCATGTGCGGGCAGGACTCTCAAAGGTCCCGAGAGGTTTCCTCATGAGCTCCACCTCTGTTTTCATTGAGTTGAGTGAAGCGAACACCTCCTCCATGCCTTCCGGCTCATCCAGAGCTTCATCTGCCTGTAGGAAATCCTCCATGTTGAGCTGAACCGCTTCCTCTTCCTCAGCCTCTGCCCTGGACTCGGCTCCTTGTCGATTTGAGTGTCTCCTTCGCTTTTTGCGCCCCTCTCTGATTGGCAGTGGCTCAATCATAGCGGCTGGAGGGCCCTGAAGAAATGGAGTGATGGGAGATATGAGGAGACAAGATAAAAAGTAAAGGACGGAAAAGTAAGGAGACTTTATGATGGCTCACAGGTGGTCCAGGTGGCCCAGCAGGTCCTGTATCTCCTCTTGCACCAATGGCTCCCTTTCAGGGGAGAGAAACATAAACAGTTTAGTCAGGCATCCCGAAACTTGGCACATCCCTCAAAGGCACCTGCCAACTCAGCGCTTCATATGGCGATTCGTTCAGAGGGATTATCCAAGTTGGAGCAGCAGGATACAACTCAAGCACTGCCAATATATTTAACTCAGGTTTCATAAGAGAGGCGAGAGCTCAGATCAGAACAAACAAATAGCATATAGACAGAGAGAGGCTGAAAAATAAGATTGCAATAAAAATATATATATAAATATATACCAACCTGGTCCCCTTTAGATCCTTTCTCACCTATTGCACCCTATAAAGGAGAATAACAGCAATGAAAAAAAGGCAATATTCTTCACTTAAAATTTTTTACATTCACCTTTAAAAGTAGTTACTGTCCACAAAAAAACTAAAGATCAATCGATAAATGGAGAATAAAGAAGGAATTCATATTAAAAAAGCAACTCACAGACAACCCAGGGGGTCCAGGAGGGCCAGTAGGGCCAGGGGGGCCACCAGCACCCTATTATCAACATAATTTAAAAAATACATGTCTTAAAAAATGGTCTAAAGACTCAGATGCTTAAGTTGAGATAGGTTAGTTATTCCTCCAGCAAGGAAATTGATTTTCTGTCTCTTTGGAAAGACACTATAATATACCAATCATTGTAGAGAACAATCTTCTGGAGGGTGCATAAGTCTAAATTAGTGAGCTGAGCAACTCTAAGGCAGAGCCAGTGGCAAACATCATTGCCTTGAATTGAGCAAAGTGGTTTATTTGTGTGAATAAAACATGCACAACCAAGATACAATTTCTATGTGGTTCTAAGGGTAAATATTTTGTTACTGAGCAACATTTAACCATCGATTTTTAGACAATTCAAGTACTTTTAACATTGTGAAGTGTACTGGCAATTAGAAGTGTTTTCTAATCGTTATCCTACATTTGAAGACTTCTTAACATTGGCTCTGTGAGTTTGTTACTGGCTTTGTGATTTTGAATATTGCAACTGCTAACAATTTATACATACACATTAAAAAACCACAGAACAAATAATCTGAAGCTAAATATGGATTATAACTGCAGTGATGTATACATACACCATCTCCTTTGGTTCCTTGTATTCCCTGAATCCCAGGCAGGCCCCGATCTCCTTTCTCTCCCATTTCTCCTGGTGGTCCAATTAGACCAATAAGCCCACCGTGACCCTAGACAACACAAAGAACAAAAGAGCTAAATATATATGACTAGCAGGGCTGGCGATTAACATTTTTGATCATCAGCCACTATGGCTAGTAGTATTCCACTTGCCATTTTCACTAACCACATTTTGTTATTGGTGAAATATACTGTATTTTATATGCATACATTTGACTTTTACGTGCTAAAATTATTTGATTTAGATTTTGTTTTATGTCCACATGCCTCCTCATTCATTTCACTTTTTGTGTGTGTTGTGTATGAGCTTGCTCAATGTGTATGAGCAAATGGGTTGGGTCACATTTTTAATTTCACATGACTTTTGGGGGCTCAAAACTAAGGACTTACCAAATTTATCTCTGAGCACACCAAAAAATAAATAAATTATTATTTCTTGGCCACAAATTTCAAATAATGTGTCAAAACAAGCAAAACATCGCCGTATCCATGCACTTTTTAATTCAACAAAATCTTTCTTAAAAATAAATAAATAAATTTAAAAAAGAACTGTTGTCATCTTTCTAAAATATGCACAGTGATCTGTCCTGGTTAAAGTTCCCAGATAACCAGACATACAGTTAACACGGTTAATGTTAGGATTGATGTGTTCAAAGATTTCTGGCTGCAGCATTCTGGATGCGCTGCAACTGTCTGACTGTCTTTTTGGGAAGGCCAGTGAGGAGGCCGTTATAGTAATCCACCCTGCTGCTGATAAAAGCATGAACAAGTTTTTCTAAGTCTTTACTGGAAACAAATCCTCTAATTCTTGCAATGTTTTTGAGATGATAGTATGCTGATTTACTTACTGCTTTGACATGACTATTGAAACTCAGATCTCCAGAGTCACACCAAGATTTTTGACCTTGTTTTTTGTTATTTGACCCTTAGTGCCAAGGTATGCATTTACTTTGAGAACCCCATCTCTGTTCCCAAACGCAATGACTTCAGATTTCTCTTTGTTTAACTGAAGAAAGTTTTGGCACATCCAACTGTTAATTTCATCAATGCACTGGCAGAGGGTGTTAATGGGGCTGTATTCATTAGGCATGAAGGCTAAGTAGATCTGAGTGTCCTCATCATAGCTGTGGTAGGAGATTTGGTTAGTTTTCATTATTTGGCTCAGAGGGAGCATTTAAAGGTTGAACTGGTAAGGTGCCAGAATTGAGCCTTAGAAATGTGATTCTAAGATCACATTTGCACGAATATTGGGCCATCCTTATTGTCAAAAAACTATTATTTAAAAATTATTTTCAACCAGCAAAAGTGGCTTGTGGGAGTGTCTGTCTAACCCGCCACAGCTGAAATCTACCCGCATTTGACAGGTTGGCGGGTGTTAATGTCAACCCCTGATGACTAGTGCAATGAACCATTACAATTACTAATAGACATAATATCCCAAGCACAAATTATTTATGATATTTCACCATGAGCACAGTGATAGAATAGGTAGTTGAAATTTAAGAGATTTATGCTACACTTTACTGAAAGATGTAAACTTCACTTTTAAGCTGTTCTGTTACATTCTCAGGCTACATTGTTTAGGTGTAATGTAAAATATGAACTAAATATGAATCTGTAATGCAGTCAGATACCATAAAAATCACTGTCAAGTGTTTATGATGCTTTTATACCTTATCTCCTTTAATGCCTGGATCTCCTTTCAGTCCTGGTAATCCAGCTGGTCCCTATACAGTATAAAACAAAGCCAGTCGCATAGTTCAATTTCTCTGGGAGGAAGTATTTGCTGCAAGTTCAAAATCATTAGTCTTTTCTCCGCAGAGCACTATTTAATACAGTTGGAGATCGATAAGGGAGAAAAAGAATTGGTAGAAATCGTACCATAGGTCCTGGAGGTCCCGTTTGCCCAGGGGGTCCATTTAACCCCTGCTCCCCCTAGAGATGAACCAGACAGTGTGATAAGTTCAAGACAGATTAAGTGTTCAGAGAGGTCAGTAATAACCGTGGGTGAGTCACATGGTTAGATATCTGCTATCCAGAGCAGATTTATGCACTGTAAAATAGATTCCCTTAGACTTACAGCAGAGCCTGGAATTCCACGCAAACCCTCTGGACCAGGGTTTCCTGGGTGTCCCTGTGGTCCAACAGGCCCTGTCTTTCCTATCGGACCTTCAGCACCAGCAGAGCCCTGAGAAAGATTGTAATGACCGTTAGAGTATAATAACAGACAAGTGTTTAGAGGAGGGATGCTCAAACTCAGTCCTGGAGGGCCAGTGTCCTGAAAAGTTTAGTTCCAACCTCAATCAAACTTAGACACACCTGGGCTAGTTAATGAAGCCCTTACTAGGCTTTCTAGAATTATCCATGTAGGTGTGTTGAGGCAAGCTGGAGCAAAAATCTGCAGGACACCGGCCCTTCAGGACCAAGTTTAGGCAACCCTGGTTTAGAAGCTCAAATTATTCAAGAATACTCACCTTTGCCCCCTTTTTTCCTTGCTTCCCTTCTTTTCCCTCAGGACCTATATGACCCTGTGTGGAAGGAGACATATTCCTGTAGTTAGACTAGTTTCCCGTATAGAAATAATCTAGGACACAATCAAAACAGTGGCCATACTGACCCTTCGTCCAGGGGGTCCTGGAGGGCCAGGCTCTCCAGAGGCACCTTGGGGTCCCTGTTAACAGAATCTTCTTTAGTTTCATCAATATACCCTTTTAACAATATCCCTAAATGTTTGTTTACTCACAGATTTACCAGGTTCGCCATTATCCCCTTTAGCTCCAGGTCCACCATCTATGCCCTAAACAACATTTATTGATATCATGATGTGATTTCACCTTCAAAATGTGTCAAACTTGAAAACTGAACTAATGCAGATGTTCACTTACATTAACACCTGGCTCTCCAGAGGGTCCAGAGTCACCAGGGAATCCAAGGGGCCCCTATTGAGGGAAATTAATAGAATCAGAGTAAAATCATAATTACAGATTTAACTATGAAAATGGCTACTCACTGGGTTTCCTTTGGGTCCATCTGATCCAGGTATGCCTCTGATTCCGGGGGGTCCTGCAGCCCCAGGGGGGCCAGCATCCCCCTTCTCACCCACCTCACCTTTTTCTCCCTTGACATAAAAGCAACAGGGAATTTAACAATACATTGGTGGATGAAACAATAACTTGAATAAAAAGAAAAAACAAAAATAAATTACTTACAACCAGGCCAGTTTCTCCCACATTTCCTGGATTCCCAGCTTCCCCATCCTCACCCTAGAATAGAAGTGAAAGAGACAGACAAAGAGAAGAAAGCAAAATGAAAGCGATCATCCATCATAGTTAGGCTTACATGTTTACGTAGTTACAGAGGCAGTGCCCTCCAACAAATAAACACAACCTCCCTCATAAATCACATAACACTTGTGTATATATATACAGAATGAGAGAGTGCTCTACCTTTTCTCCCACCACTCCTGGCTGGCCCACTGCGCCCGGCATGCCCTGAGGACCCTTGCCACATAGAACAAAACAGAGTCAGTTTCATACATAATGCATGCAAGACTGTCTCCTCTGCTTGCACACTGTTGACATTAGAGTGATGAGATTACAGACTACCAAAGCACAGACTGTGTGTATATGTAATCACATTTTATTAAGCTAAAACGCCATATTGTTCAGCTTCCTCCCGGCTGAGGCGTTTATGGCTGTAGTGCCTGAATGTCTCAGATGAGTCTAAACTGAAGTGGCTGCCCTGGTCTCTGGAGTCTTGCTGCTGAGTGCCTTTAAGTGAGGTGCACGCGTGAAGCCAAATGGATGACCAGCAGGTGTACACTAGCCGCTTTTCTTCGTCTCTCGTCCTGTCTTATCTGCTATGTTCATAAGATGCCCACAATCAGCCCCGGTGCACATCTCTTCTCCTCTTCAGCTCTGTAAGAGTGCGCTTGTATGGGTCACTGCCATGTCTATCTCTGTGCTCTCACTTTTCAATTATTAACACATGGGAGATGTTCAAAGGTGGCCATTAATAGAGGTAAATATAACTCTCTCAGGGATGATACTCTAATATTCCTTAATCATTCATAGAGAAGTAAATATAACTCTTGCAGAAGGATCACATCCCACATCTGGTTAATAATTTAAAACTCAAAATCAGCACAGGGTGGGCAGAAAGAGATACAGGGAGGATAAAAGACTGAGGAAAAGAGAAATTAGATGTCGTATGTGACCTCATAACCGCCTGGGGGTTACTATTCTCAGTATGCTGGTGTGGATACACAGAACACATCCTTTGGAGTCACGAAAAAAAACTCATTATTATGTCTCTGCAGCACTTGGATGTTTAACTACAACACAAGCCCTAATCAGCTCTAATCTACTGTCCTGCACTTGAACCCTACAGCACAGCAGGGTGATAGACAGGAAGGAAAACACTAAGACACTTACCTCTCCTCCAATGGCTCCCTGGGGACCGCGTGGACCATGTTGTCCTGGAGGGCCCTGGTGAGAAGCAGAAAGATTAAGCATTTCTTACATATTATTAGATATGTCTTATCTCCTCCTCCTCTTTTTGTACAATCAGCACCTTTTCCTGTGTCAGAGAGGTGTTTTTTTTTTTTTGTACATCTCTGACATGGTGGTGACAGGCTATTACAGGCGGGCTGATTTCCTCTCTGTGGGCAGTGTCTGGGTTTTAATGAGGACTATCTCACTTTTTCATTCTCTAGTTACACTGCATGAATTCTCAACTCCTGAGGCATACCTCGTATTGCTGCGGAGGGTGGAACATGAGCCATTAATCAAACTGGCCAAAACCTATTGCTGGTGCACCATACGCAATCTCCACTGAGAGATATTAGTGCTGTGTGAGGCATCCAGGAGGATAAACTACAGCGAGGATCAACACCAAGGCTGAATGTGTAGTCTGAAAAATGTACAACACCCTACTCTCCAGAATCCAAGACAACTCTTTATGGCAAAACTGGGAAATTCAGTGGCTATTCCCTAAGGCATGGAAATCCCATGATCCACAGCATTCGCTCATGGATGAGAGCTTCCCAGAGAGGCCTCGTGGCTTTGTTTTTGCTTAGTTTTGATGCACTTCATCTAATCGTGCAAGTGTGTGGAACCGTTGAGAATCTTGTTTTGCATTCCTTCATGGTTGACAGAGCCGCGAGAAGACTGTCACAAAGGAGTGCTCTCATTAGACAGCCCGGGCTCACGGTAATCTGATTAGCAGCTGTCACGCAGCCTTCCACTTCAGAACCAACATCACTCTCTCTCTCTCTTCTGTCACTCGCCTCACACAGGCCTGACACTTATACACTAAAACACATGAATGATGCCCCAGTATCACAGAGCTTCTCTAATGCTTGCCTTATTTCTCACTGTATTAGAGATCTTCACTGACTCTCATCCTACACACACAGTCCTGTTTAGAGTAATGCTGAATAGGTTTAGAATGGTGGACTAATCGCGATACCTAATGATAATTAATTTATTCTATTTTGCTGCTATTAATACTGCTACAACTTATTCTTATTTTATATTTTAGTGCTATTAAGTGTATGCTGTGCCTGCCTGGCATGATGTTAGAGCAACCTTGATTAACGGATTCAGGTTTGTTTAATAAGGGTTCGAGCTAACAAGGCCTGTTGAAGCCAAGCCTGAAATGATTAGCTTATAAAGCATAGCGGCTAATGCTAACATGGTCTCTAAGGCAGTATACAGGGTTGTGTACAGGTGGTTCCCAAAGCTCTTCCAATCCAAATATATCTTATAATAAATTATACAGTAATATGTTCATGGTTTATTGATGGCTAGATTTTTTTTCACACACTTATGTCTCCCATTTTTTTCACCATATTCAGAAAATTGTAAAGTGAAATGTTAAAGACATTTAAAAAAAATAAAAGACTGCTACTGGTATTATTGAGAATAAAACTGATTATTCAAATGAGGAGTTTAAGGATCTTACCATAGATCCAACATGGCCACTTTCTCCCTTCTCTCCAGGGGGTCCTGGCATTCCCTAAATAAAATCCAAATTTAGAGCCATGCATTTTCAGAATTAAGGTGGATTAACCCCCTCAGTGAACTGAGAAATCTATGTCCCATCTGGATGAAAATGAACTAAGATTTTTGAAAACACCGTGCAGTCATGCATGCAATAAATAGACAAGGACATCTGGAACTGTCAGTATGCCCAATATAACGTGCAACTGCTCATGGATGCAGGTTTAAAATGGCAGTCTAGTTAAAAAATATTCCAAAAAAGACTTTTAAAAGTTTTAGAAGCATTTTCATGAGTTTTATTTGTTCAACATTGAAAGGACAAATGTATGTGTCATATGGTGTACCTGCAACCCTGGTGGTCCAGTTGCCCCTTTAAAACCTCGTTCTCCTTCATCACCTTTAGGGCCATACATCCCTTGCTGTCCCCGGAGCCCTGGCTCTCCATCCAGACCCTGAAAGAGACATCAGTGCTGGACTGTAAACACATGCAGAATTCAAAACAAGCTCCCACACATCGACCACACTTATACATACTGGTGGTCCTGGCTGTCCAGCAGGTCCTTGGCTCCCAGGTGGCCCGGGGGGACCCTGTGAGATAAAATAAAGAGATATGGTGTTACATACCTCGAATGAAAGTTCATGCAATATTTAGTGTTTATGACAAGGCAGAGATAGACACTCACTCCTTCTCCTTTGTCTCCTTTGCTGCCTTTCTGCCCTGGTCCACCTGTCTCCCCCTTACAAGCACATTATGCCCATAAATTAAAAGAAGTATTAACATGTTCAAATGCAAAAAAAAAAAAAAAAAAGTTAAAATTGTACCTTGTCTCCATCGTCTCCAGGTGGGCCCGGTGGCCCAGCAGGTCCAGGTAATCCCACAGGCCCTTGTTCTCCATCGCGTCCTGCAGGGCCAATTGAACCTTTTTCACCCTGAAGAGCAGTGGTAATTGTTTGTTACTCTTGAAGTTACTCAAGCAATGCAATGCATGTTCATTGAATGGGAAATTATGTTCAATCTCACTGGTTCGCCCTTCTCTCCCATTGGCCCAGCAGGGCCGACACCCCCCTGACGACCAGGTTGGCCAATGGCACCTGCAGGTCCAGAGGATCCTCTCTCTCCGGTGGCACCCTGTGCAGAACATTTTAGTAAAGTGAACTTTATTTTAAATCATACAAACGGGAAAATGTGTAAGACAATAGAAAAATCATTTACAATTGGCCCTGCAACACCAAGTGGGCCCTCTCCACCCTTCAAACCAGAAGAGCCCTATTAAAGCATAAAAATAAGAAAAAAAATATGAGGATCCATGCTAAAAAATCATACAACCACAATCTGCCTTTTTTGCACAAAGTCAGCTTTTCATATTGGTTGAAGGTTATGTAAAGGCAGCATCCATCACAGCGGAGATTATAAGAAGCTATTCTCTCAGATGCTTTGAGGTGTGTTACCAGAATGCCAGGTAAGCCTCTTTCTCCTCTGAATCCACGCCGCCCAGCAGGACCACTCTTCCCGGGCTGCCCTGCGGGGCCTGGATCTCCCTGGAGACCAGAGAACACAGAAAGATGGGTCTCTGTTTCCACAACTCTCTCACTCATTAAGAGTCATCCATCATCTTTATAGGCACTGAGCCATGCTGGGAGCTCTATTCATATTGAATGAGCAGAAACATATGGCTTGTAATCAGCAATGTAAGTTATAACTAGATTAATAAGTTTGGTGTGTTTCATGATGATGACGATGATGATTCTAATGCTGATATCTAACCTTGGTCCCTTCTTTGCCTGCAGCTCCTGGCAGACCTTGCTCTCCAGGAGGTCCTGGTGCACCTGGGTGGCCCCTGTCACCGGTGGGTCCAGTCTCCCCAGTTTTGCCCTGGAATAAGAGATCATTTAGAGAGCTTTATTAAACCAGCTAAAAAAATGTTACATAGCTTCATAGGAGTGAATGAAGACCATGCACCAGAAAGGCAATGTTCGTCCAAGCCTGTATGATTGACCCACCTGTGGTCCAACCACTCCTGCAGGCCCAGGGGGACCAGTCTTTCCTTGAAATCCCTGTATGAAAAAGTATTTTTTATATAAATCCAACAGAAATAATTTTGCAGAATTGCTTTTCCACTGTTTATAAAATCAAATCTTGTTTTCAAATTATGTAAAGTAATTTAGTTAGTTTAAAAAGCCCCCTATAGGCATACTTCAGTCCTTTCTTTTTCGCACATTTGGGTGCTGCTGCATAGGTTGTCTGGTAAGAGGACTACTCTAGCTTGGAACTAATGGCACAAAGTGGCACTTACAAGCACATTTAAGCCATTAAATGACAATTGTCATCATTGCTACTAAAGGAGGTCGCGCCTTCTCGTTTATGGCTCTTAAACACTAAAAAAGCCTTCCTGCTAATGTCCTAGGCTCAGACACACTCTCTCATTTAAAAACTTTTTTAAAGACCTATATTTTTAGTAAAGCATACACACAATGTACCACATAATGGTATGATCTATGACTGTGCTCAACGCAGATAAGTGGGCTTGACAAACCACCTGTAGAACACACTCCTACTGTCGTGATGCACCAGGCTTTTGTTAGAAATATTCATATGCATTATATGTTTGTTTCAACGTTTGTTTAGATAAGTACTATTTTCATTTATAGCTCTTTATTTTTCATCTCGTGTTTAAATACACTATGAACAGCAGCTAAGCTAATTATTTTCTTTGATCTCCATTTCCACTTGGCAATATTCATCCAGAGGTCCCTTGAGATTATGCAGCACCATTCATGCAATTCAAGACCTTTGGAGAAATTATGCCAAGGTATCCATAATCTTGGACCGGGCAACATCCTTAGCTGATGCTCTGGTGGTCATGGAGGAGAGCATGAGATTGCTGAAAGACCACAGTGACACACAAGTCTTCGCATTGATCTCATGGGCCAGCCTGATCACCCACCGGCGACCTACTCACACCTGCAGTTCTCCACAATGGACGCCTCCTGTGCCTAGACTGCAGCTCTGCATAGGAAGTTTGGCCAGATTAGAAACTGAGCCTGATTTCTCTCAAGTTTTTTTCCCTCACTTTCGTCAATTGGTGAAGTTTGTTCCTAGCCTCTGTCCCGCCTTTGACTAGCTTGGTTTGGGACTTGTGGAGCTGCGCATCGATGGATTTGCTCTTAAATGTTTGAACTTTCAGCAGGGAAATTTAAACCACACTGAACTGAACTAAACTAAACTTCAACTCTGAAAACTGGACTGACACAGTTTCACTACATTAGATTTTCTACGTTAAGCTGCTTTGACGCAACTACATTGTAAAAGTGCTATAGAAATAAACATGAACTGAATTGCTTAAATCCACAACATGCATAGAGTGTCTTAGGGCATTTATGGATTCAGATAGGTGCTCACAGTTCACATCAAATGCGCCACAATCGCCCATCAAAGATGCCATTTGGGACACGACTGTAGTCACCTATCTTTAAAACAACTCTTTAAAAAATATGAATTGACTCACTGGCTCTCCTCGTTGACCTGGGTGACCCGGCAACCCATCTTTTCCAGGAGGGCCCTGAAAAGAAAGAAAAAAAAAAGGATATATTCCTTCACTCCCTCAAAAGAATTTATTTTATTTTATGGTCACTTACATTTGGTCCCTTTGGCCCAGCCTCTCCATTGCGTCCTTGCGGTCCTTGAGGGCCCTGAAGGTGAGAGTAAGTAACGCGATTATTCATTTATCTCCAGCAATGAAAAGAAATGTGAAATCTCACATTAGTCTGGTAGATTGACCGTGTGATATGAGGAGAATTGTAATAGATAACACATACTCTCTCTCCTGTGGCACCTGGTGGGCCGTCATGACCAGCAGAGCCCTGAGCAAAAGACAAAGAAAGAGACGTCAGATGAATTTAAACACACACAGTGCAGCCTATTTACAAGGATACTACAGGATCTTTATCTGTATAAGGATGGATTTCTTACCTTGGCTCCAGGCTTCCCTGTTGGACCTCGTGCTCCTCTTCCCCCACGTGCACCCTGCAAACAACAAGTACAAAACGTGCAAATATGCTTATAAAGTATGCTTGATTAAACTAATTGTCCAATCAATTATTATTGGCTGTTTCATCATTAAACCTTGCATGTGTATGTAGTAAAACCACTGAGGTCTTTTATTTTACAAGCAAGCTTATGACTTACATTTGGACCTCTTTCACCATCTGCACCAGCCTGTCCAGCAGGTCCCTGTAAAGAAAACATATTAAAAATGAAACACAAATGCAATGATTCAACAGTATGTTTGTAAGTAATCCCTCGGACAGTGTGCTTCGGCACTGGCCTCTCACCCTCTTTCCTTTCTCTCCTTCCAAACCAGCTGTTCCAGGAAAGCCCACTGATCCCTGTGGACCAACGCGAAGGTTAATCAATTACCACATTCCATTCATTAATCAACCTCTACATTTAATTAACCACAAATTAACCTCTGAAGTCCCATTACCATAAATAAGCCAAATAATAATTGTAGCCTCAGATAAGCTATTAATAAAACAGGCTGTAAATGGCCATTAATCATCCTCAGTAAGATTGTAATATTCAAATGCTAGCATAGCATGACTGAGACCAGCGGCTTGCAAATTTTGATATAAAACAGGTTATTGTTATTTCAGTAATGATGCTTTACCTTTGAGCCCTGCCTACCGGGATAACCAGGCAATCCTGGAACACCAAGTTTCCCCTGTATATGGAATGTGAAAATTAGGCACAACAAAATTCTTAGTAAATAAACAATTCCCAACGGACTGTTGGTTTAGAAGCAAGAATAACCTTTTCTCCAGCAATGCCTGCAGATCCAGGCTCTCCTAAAGGTCCTGATTGACCCTTTGGTCCCTCTGGCCCATCTTCACCACGACTTCCAGGAGAACCATTATCACCCTGAGCAAAAATTAAAAAACAAAGTTACTATTAACAATGAATAGTTTGTGTTTTTAGTATTGCTAATGTGTTGTAAAATGTCTTTTAAAAGTCTTTGAGGCAGCAATGTAACTATGTTCTGCTAGGTCCGGGTGACCAGTCTTGTTCCTCAAAGGCTAATGTAATGCTATTTTAGCTGCAATTTGCCCAAGCAAACTTAAATAGAACGTTCTAGTGAGTCTAAGACGTTTACATTGACACGACAAATCCGATTTTAATACAATTAAGACAATACTCTGATTAAGAGTGTAAATACGGGAGTGTATGGGTGTTTCCTAGTACTGGGATTCAACTGAAAGAGAATCTGCTATGTAAAACATATGCTGGATAAGTTAACGGTTCATTCTGCTGTGGCAACCCCTGATGAAAAAGGGACTAATCCCAAGGAAAATGAATGAATGAATTAATTAATATTTTGTATGAACTCACTCTGTCTCCTTTGATGCCCATTTCACCTTTGGCTCCAGGGAAACCATCCTCACCCTGTAACAGACAAAAGGAATTGGGTAAAGCAGAAACACCTTCATTTTGCTCCACATACAGTAGTTGTGCAGCAGGAAAACATAGAAGCCATAGAAAAAACCATACATCATGTTAAGCCACGTTCAGTAAACCACAATGTCTTATCTCCACATTGATAACCGAAAGTGTTGTCTTCTCCTGGTTTCTTTATAACAAAACAAGTGTGATATTATTATTATTTTCTCTCACCTTCTCGCCCTTGCTACCCTTCAGTCCCCTCACCCCATCTGCGCCCTGTTCAAAAAGAACAAAATATATCAGAGTGTGCTGCAGGGATCTCTGCACAATCTCCAAACCTCGGGTAAGAGATGTTCACCTAAAAGACAGAATCTCAGATATGAAGTCTTGACGTGAACACCATCACTGATTGTTTAAAGTAATAAAAACCATGGCTTGCAAAATGCTGGAGGTAAGACATACGGCAACAAATGTAAAAGGCACTGTGACAGGATATAGACAAAGACGATAATACTCTATATGTCACAATCAAAGAGGGGTTATGTGCTAGCAAGATACTGTATATCCGTTTTTTGTTCTTTGACCACATCACGCACTTCTACACAAACAAGCCCAGACAGGTTTTGCTATCCTGCTTGTTGCGTTTTCGACTGTCCATCACGAGTGCTTCCCGCTGTCAAGGGTTTTCCGGGGAGAATTAAACTGATCTACCTGAGCCAGTCGTCTGCCATTCACACACAGTCGGACTGTCAATCAAAAGTCCACTATCCTAGATCGAAAGTCTTTGAGAGTCTTTGGTGCAAACCGAACAAGCCGGCATCTCAAAGCTACTCACCTTCACTCCACGAGGCCCAGGATATCCAACCGGCCCTTGTGCTCCTGATAAACCCTGTATACAGTAGAGAAACAGACAATATCAGTTTAGTGTTCAGGCAGTGAAGGACAAAACACAGCACTTACATTACTTGTCATTTAAGGGTGCCATAGAACAAAAATCTAGATATACCTTACAAGTAGGTCAATTTGTTTTTATGCTTTTGATGAAGTAGCATTCAACTTAGAGCTTTTTACACCATGTGCCAGCCAATTTCTCTGTGTTTCACTGGTAATATCTTTAAATAACTATGTATTTAGGCCTATTGAATCATTCTTTTACTATTTATGTACAATAATTGACATAAAATTAGATAAATAAATCAAATAAAATCAACAACGAAAATGTAAATGAAAATGTCAATGAAAAGCTTATTTATTGACTGTCTTAGTTCTATCACTTTAAAATAGCAAACACTGTACGTGTCTCTATATTTAGGCAAAACACTGCTTTATTTATTTATTAAGGCCTATTTATTTGTATGTGTGTTTGTACTTTCATTTTAGTCATCTTTTATTTCTTTAATTTTACTTTGAAAAGGTAATGATTCGCACTAATCAAGTAATTGCTTTGTCCTGTTTTTATTTTTTCCTCTTACATTCTTCTGGTGATTTACAGACACAAACGTTTCGGCACAATGCCTTCCTCAGTGTTAATTTTACTTACAAAGATGAATCCTTAACAAGTTTACAATGATAATAAAGCTTGTTAACAAATTTATAATGATTAATGAAGGAATAATAATGTTTTGTTTCATTGTTTCATCTTCATTTACAAGTAGCAGAGTATTTACAGCTACTGTATATTTTTGTCCCTTCACATCCTGTCCCTTTGTGCCCAATAGTGGCAAACTGAGGTTATACCTGAAAACATGTTGTTACTCCTTTAGTGCGGTGGTGTTATGAGTCGCAGCGGTAATGCTCTTTTTAAAGTGTAACCCACTGTAGGCATACATGAATAACAATTGTTTAGTACATGGAAATTAAATAGTGGTCCTCACACACCATTGTTTGGTCATGCAATCAGAACAAATCCCTGACTGTTACTTTGACCATGGGATCATTAATATATTGCCATTATTGTCATTATATATTGTATTTGATTAGCCACGACATTTGCTAGTAATATTACAACAATCACTTTTTAAAAATACTATGTATGTATATGGCACTCTTATTTTGAAAAATGTGAGAATGTTGATGAATGTTGCAGCAAGAGACTAAAGGGGGTCACACACCGGATGAGCCACAACACGGCGTGCACATGACAGTTGGAAGTATGGCATACCGCATGCAAACATTTGAATGTTATTTAATATGAAAGTATTCAGATGGCGCTCTGTGGCACGCAGAAATACGAACAGTTTCCTGAGTCATAGCTGGGTGCTGCGGATAGCCGCCAACTTGCGGCACTGTTGTGCGTACCCTGATAGAAATCTATGTTTAGAATTCAAAAATGCATGAGGCTGTGTATCACGGTGCGATGCCGAGCGGTGCACCTGGTGTACTATCCTTTTTTGGCTGTGTCCAAAATAGCATACTTCCATACTATATATTAAGCTAAAACCAGTATACGAGCTATTTGAAAAATAGTAAGTGAGAAGTTTCCAGATGATCTAAGATTCTGAAGTGTGCATCCAATGCTATGCGAGAGATGCCACACAATGCCATGCAAAAGAATTCATGAAAGGGAGTGAATCGACGCTACTGACGCAGATAGGTCATGTGATAATGACAAATGCCAAATGTAGTATGTTTGAGTTCCACTCATACTACTTACATTCGTACTATATAGAACATACTTTTGTATTGGTAGATTAGTAAATTCGAATTCGAATGTAGTAAATACTCGAGTAGTAGGGGATTTTGGACGCAGCCTAAAGTCTGCAATGCCATGTCTTTACATTGTTTTTAATACACTGCTAAGCGATGCAGAGAGATGCCAAATGAGGTTGTTGCTAGTTCGGACATGATTGCAGCCGGAAGTTAACAAGAATTATTTATATTATTTATTAAATTTCCCATTTATTGTATTTTATTAATGTCTACCCTCACCCTCACCCTAAACCCAACCGTTACAGTAATGTAAAAACAGTAGTTGTACAAGTATTATTTATGTTATCAATTAAATTACCCAATAAATTGTATTTTTTAACACCTACCCCCACCCCAACCCTAAACCCAATCGTCACAGTACTGTAAAAATATTATTTATTGTTATACACTGTCATAAAAAAATGCAATCCAATCTAGACTTTACCGCCAAATGGTGGCAACTGTTTGCATACACTGATAGAAAATAATGTTTCAAATTTTAAAACATGTGGTGGGGCACTTAAGATCCGATGTGTGATGGGTTTTAAGGGGCAGTTCTCAGTCAGCTATCTGTTTACAGCGTGTCAAAACACAAAATGCAGGATATACGGATTATACATTCATTTATTGTCCTTCCACCCCCCGAAAAGGCATTTTGTCTCTTTAAATGCACCTTTTGCTACAGTAGTTTAACATGTACATTATACATGCAACATGTAATGAGGCAACAAATACATGTAAACTGCTTAATATAAGTACTTCATTTTCTGACAAATGAAATATGATGATATTGCAGATTTATTTCAGAGTATCTCACACTGTGTTTGTGTGTGTATGTGTAAGAAAGAAAGAGCAGACATTGACAGGAGCTGAGGAACATCTGAGCAGATCTCACTAATATTCACGAGCATTCCAAATATGGTCAAAAGTGAGTTTTGCATTCTAGGGGTAACTTCTGCGGTCATAAATTAGCATATATTACCATTTCCAGAGAATTTCTGAACATACTTAACCCACTTACCAACTATGTGCTATCAGAAAGCCATTTTAACATATGCAATTAACAGCATCTTTTATATAGTATTTCAACAATCAGTGGCCATGTGTGCCAATAGCAGCGTGCTAGCATAAAGCAGCGTTCACAGTGAAAACGAAACAATGACTACACAATGGCGATGGATTGATTCAAGTGTGCAATTACTGCAATAGCGTGCACAAAAGCACGCTGGTATGCTTTGTGAACGGTGATAATTTAGAGACTGCAGCTGGAGCGCCTGTAACAAAGGCTCCAGACAGAGGGGACCATGAACAGGGCAGCGCTTTTCTATGTGGTGCTGCATTTAGACTCTTGGCTCCCTCTGTTTCCTCTTCAAATTTTCACCGCTTATTCGGGTCAGTGGAGCAGCGATGTGTATGTGTGTCTGTGATTGCAACCCACCTGGTGTCCCTTCTCCCCAGGGGGTCCCTCTCTTCCAGGATGACCCTGTGATTTGAACAGGATAACCAGGTGTTAGCATGACAGCGGGCTGATTAGGGGACATCCTGTTTCTGTGAGAGAGCTAATGAGCCAACACAAAAGGCCAGGCCTGGACTAAGGACTCTGCATCATCGCTTTTTCAATATTCTATGCATGAAAATTGGGCTGTGAAGATTTATTGGATTGAATGTTTCCAGTATCAAATAGATATGTCTCTGTATGCACCATAGTGCCCCCTGCTGGCTGGTGGGGATATAAAAAAAGAAATAAATAAAATGTACCCCTCTAGTGGTTTTGAATAACAATACTTACAGGAGGACCATCAATCCCAGGAAGGCCCTGCATACCAGGTTTGCCCTCAGGGCCCTGTTTGAAGCAGCACACAAAAACAAACACACGCTCAATATTCAAACATCTAATTCAAACCACAAACCAAAAACTTATTTGTACCCAGCATGCCCAGCTTGTTAACTGCAATCAATTTCTATATTATGCTCAAGCACATTTGAGAGATGAGAGTGTATGTATGTGTGTGCATGCAAAGTTTCGCTATTGATCATCTGTCTAGTTTCATATGGAAATCAGAATAAATCTGCACAAACTAAGACGGTCACTCGCCCACACTCGACTTTTCTTTGCAAATTCTCATCTACTAACAAGTCAAAGGTCAGTGATTTATTACTGAAATAAAGCAAGACTTGAGGAGTTTACCTTCTCTCCTGGTAGACCTATAGGCCCCTGTGGACCAGGAAAGCCCTGAAACAGAACGCAACTTCTTTATTCAAAGATTTTTAAACCTAGCAGTGCACATTTGCATTGCTGGCAAGGTTTCACTTGACAGTATTGGACTGAAGATGGATGCTTACTTGTATGCCTGGGTTCCCCTGTTGACCTGGAGGTCCGGGTTCTCCAAGGGGTCCCTGCGAAATGGTGAGAAATGTGAGCAATCAGCTTTGCATGAAGATTATCATCATTTTGTAAAGAAATTAGATTAGGACTTCTGCAGCCTCCAAGTCCTCCTGGGAAGATCCTACTTAGTTTGCAAGTCTAATCATGACTATGTGCGCTCAAGTTATTTAAAAAGGACAGGGTGGGAAATTTCATGTTTATCCTCTTTTTTTACCTTTCGGAAAAAGATTTGTAGTGCTAGTATCACAAGATCAAGGCAAAATATGTGCATTATTGGTGCTTTAACTATGTGTTTTATCACTCTCGGCTGCCACAGTGAACGATAGAAAATATAGTTTTGTTGCACAAGGCTGCTGCCTCATAAACTGGCTAAACGAGAGTTATTTTCTGCCAACACTTTATAGCAGATTTAATCAACAACGTGGATACAAACTAAAATGTAAAGGAATCTTCTAGGCTTCATAAATTGTGCTTTATCAACAGTTATCTTTGGAAAGCTGCTGATTAACACAATTTGAAAAAAAAACACAAACAGACAGAATCTGTAGACCTTTTCTTTTACTATTTCTGTGATATATTTTGTAAAAAATAATAATAATAATAATTGTTATATATATATATTATATATATATATATATATATATATATATATATATATAATTGTTATATATATATATATTTATATAAATAAAACATTGTAGACCTTGAATGAGCTGAAACCTTGACACACAATAAAAATAAATTCCTAATGTACTCGGGGCCAGCTAGCAAAGTGCTTTGCATGTAAACCTCACTACTCAGACCTCTAAAGGTACTCTAGCGACTGACGCTAGAGGCCATGGTCTTTAGCCTCCTTGTTGAAGCAGCCGACTCCCATACAAAGAATTGCCTGTTCGATCCCACCTCCGACCAGGTTGGATGCAGTAGGACTGGTGGTTTAAACAGCGGGGATCATCCGGGATGGGAGTGAGGTTTGGGGGGGGTAAGTATAATAGAGGCCAGCTAACGAAGTGCTATGCAGGTAAACCTCACTGCTTCTGACCTCTAAAGGTGCCCTAGCAACTGACGATAGAGGCCATGGCTTTAGCCTCCTTGTTGAAGCAACCAACTCCCATAGAAAGAATCGCCTGTTTGATCCCAGATTAGACTTAGTTGGGTGCAGTAGGTCTGGTGGTTTAAACGTTGGGAATTGTCCGGGATGGGAGTGAGGTTAGGGGGGGTGAGCGAAACAGAGGCCAGCTAGCAAAGTGCTTTACAGGTAAACCTCACTCCTCTGACCTCGAAAGGTGCTCTAGCTACAGACACTACAGGCCATGGTCTTTAGCCTATTTCTTAGAGCAACCGACTCCCATACAAAGAATCGCCGTTTCGATCCCAGCTCAGACCGGGTTGGGTGCAGTGGGACCTGTGGGTTACACGTGGGGGCTCGTCTGGGATAGGAGTGAGCTTTAAGGGGGGGGGTGAGTGTAATGGAGGCCAGCTAGCCAAGTGCTATGAAGGTAAACCTCAGTCCTCTGACCTCAAAAGGTGCTCTAGCAAAAGACGCTAGAGGCCATGGCTTTAGCCTCCTTGTTAGAGCAACCAACTCCCATACAAATAATTGCCAGTTCAATCACAGCTAAGACCGGTTTGGGTGCAGTAGGACTAGGTGAGCCTATAACTGATGAGCTCATAAATCTGTAGATGTTTGTTTGCGCAGATTACATGTGGGCCTACATATGGGCAATATACCAATATGCTTTTATTGAAAGTGCATTTCTTTCAACAGAATTCTTTTAAAAATAGAAATGAGTCCAATATTTCTGTGGTAAGCCACAGATGCTGTCAATAAAGCTTAAATAGTTTTTAACTCATAGACACTTTAATTATAATCCAAATCAATTAGCTTCTCTTATGATTTTTAAAACTGACATGCCACCAACTCTGAATCTCAAGCTCTTCATTAAGCCATTGTGGTGCCATTGATGTTCAATGATCTTGCAAATACTATCATTCAAACATGACTTGAAGGCAGAATATGGCAGTTGAATAGACGCAGTCAACTTTACTCTACAGATCTCAAGGGCTCTTCAACTCAGTGCAACAGACCCTTAACGGGTTATTTCTCAGCGGTTTTATTTGACAACATCTGACATGTTGGTTTAAACAACTGCACTACAGCGCTTGTTGCTCTTTTCTGGAATGTATTTGTCTGCAGACACTGCGTAATTCATGCATGGAAAGCTTCGCAGAAGACCTACCAAGTTGCCCTTTGGCCCTTGAACACCATCAACGCCTTGAATTCCCTAAAAGCAAAACAGAAAATGTTGTTGCAGAAAAACACTTCTAATAAAAAAACATCACAAATCTCTATTTAGGCTGTGCATGCACACCAAACATTATGTAAATCTGATGGATGGATAATTGTCCTACCTGCTGCCCAGGTGGTCCAGGTGGCCCTCTTGGCCCCACAAGTCCTCTTATCCCCTGTAAAGAAAAAAGAAACTCATCAGAAACTTCCATTAACATCACCAAGGTTAATGACCGAACAGTATACTACTAGGGAATGGTGTTGGGTTTCATGCACATCTGTTTAGGTTTGTGCTGATGTTTATATATGTGCTGGCATACGTCCTCTTTCCTCTAGTATGAGTGTGTGTGTGTGTGTGTGTGCATAGCTGGCGTGCATGTTTTGTTTTTGTCAGTCTTGGTCTTTGTACACCGGCCAAGCCACCTGTTCCAGAGCCACATCTGTGATCTCCAGGGAGGTGATTGATATGGAAATATAATCACGCAGGCCAGGATTTCATCTCTTCCCTTCACCAATCTCCCAGCTCATCTATCTCCATCCCCGAATTTATCTCCACGGCATCTCTCACTCTCTCAGCAGGCTCCACGCTGTAATAGCACTCAGGTCCCTTACTACTCTGAGTGATCCATTTAAACAACCAGCGCCTCAATGGATCACAGCTCACCTGCCGAGACCTAAATGGTGCTCGAGCCTCTGTTAATCAGACTGCGCCAAGCAGGAACACGAGATCTGCCTGTGGGAGACGTGTGTTTATGTGCTCATGTGTATGGATCAAATTACTCACAGGTTCTCCCGGTTGCCCTCTTGGTCCAACAGGTCCATCCGAACCCTTCAATAAGAAATGTTGATCAATATTTGGCGAAATGATGATGTTTTTTTTTTTTTTTAATATGAGCAGTCTTTGAGGAAGGATCTCAGGGTTATGTATGCAAAAATATTCTCATTCTTGAAAGCAGTGATCAATGTGAATCGCTGCTGCATACATTTTTCAACTTTGCATAATGAGAACATCCCACACAGTGCACGGCTTGTCTCTTTCATGCGATTTGCAAGTACACACCTGGGGCAGTGCAGGGGATCTTTAAACAGATTATTAGTAATCTGATAAAAGACTCAAGCTTCAAAACAATAAAAAGACAACGTGTATTACCTTGTGACCAGGCTCTCCGTGTGGGCCTTGGGGTCCTGGTTTCCCCCTATCTCCCTGAGGAATGAGAGTCACATTCGAGCACACGATACATACAATCAAAATTAGATCTGAAGATCTATTAAAAGTGAAACGAAGCGTTTAGACGCATCTAAAAGCCACTCTTGACTGCGCAGTAAACAGACTGTGTGATTTGATTAAGCAATTCAGTGTTCTCTACGCACTCTGTGTCCTTTGTTCCCTGGAAGGCCAGGTAGTCCATCAAAGCCCCTGTCACCCTGGAAAAAAAAAAAAACGACAAGAGATCCATAAGCATGATTGGCAAAACGGCCTTTTCGAACACACACTCCACAGCACACTTCATTAGCTAAACAGAACTCACGATGTCGTGCGCTTTGCTTGGAACACACAAACAAACAGACGTGAACGGTAACTGTGGGGCAGAGGTGTGTGTGGCATGTGGCAGGGTTTGACATGCCGCCTCAGAGGAAACCTTCCCATCTGCTGCGATTCTCAGCCTGCATCCGGTGCTGGGACTCGGAGAGCTGCGGGACTACCTCACGCTTCCTTATCAAACACGCTGCTGTTGTGCTAAATAGCTCTGCGTGATTTATTTACTGACTGGTCCTGCAGCTGGACAGGGCTGAATGCTTGCTATTGTCAGCACACACAATAAAACACAGCCTTCAATAGCAAACGGCTCCGTCAATGGCTCGAACTATTAGGGTCAAATTAACGCTTCCGGTGTTCTTTTTCAGTCTGGCAGCTATAGTTTGAGTGCATGAACTGACCACAAAATAAAACTGGATATTTGTGGTGTGGCTGTTTAGTGCAAAAACTGTCAACATACTACAGTGTTCAGCATAAATGAGTACACCCCATTTTGAAAATGAATATTTGTCTCCATTTCTCAGTGAATATAGGTCATATATTTTGGCGGATTTGAACAAAACAGATTTATTGAACAGATATATTTATTAAAATAATATTTAAGTCACCAAACATATTTAGATATGGAAAGATAATACAATTAAATTCATACATATTGGATGAATAAATTACAAACTACACAATTTCAACATAATTGTACACATTTTCTGTTTCTCTTGAATTTTGCTCTTTTTAAAAAAAATGTGTTTAATATTTTTCCCTAACAAATTTGGGTGAACTACTTTTTGGACCGTTATTGTAAATTATTTTGTTAGATAAGCTCCAGATTTGGCTTCAGTACTGACTTATATGCACATATATAATATTGTAAAGCTTCCTATAGAAAATATTAACTTAACTGAGAGATTTGTGAGGGTGTACTCATATATGTCTTGCAGGGCTTATTTGAAAACATGGGCTTTATTTTAACGATTTAGGCACAAAGTCTAAAACGCTGGGCGCAAAAGCCTTAAGGGCGTGTCTAAATCCACTTTTGCTATTTCCAGGATGGAAAAATACGTTCTGCGCTGTGGCGCATGGTCTAACAGGGTTGAGCTTATTCTCTTAATGAGTTATAGATGTGTTTTGAGAATAAACCAATCAAAGTTTCATCTCCCATTCCCTTTAAAGAAATAGTGGCATCGCTCCGTGGCACATTTGCTATTCACATGGCGGACTTTGTAAGTGGAAAAACTGAACGCTTCCCTAGCAAGTAAACACTTAAACAGACCATCTGCAGCTCAAGGAAAAAGAATGAGCCTTCTCCAATTGGCCTTTACTTTCACTTTCTCTCTCTCTCTCTTTTGTGGATAACGAAACGGTGTTGGACACTCCACTGAAGACATCCTTTAGCCTACATATTTAAATTAGTTTGTTAAGTGCAAAGATTTGTTTTGGAAATATTTCTAATTTCCAGCAAGTGAATAAATGAGCAATAGTTATTATGTGTAGTCAAAAAACTATTATATCCAAATACACATGCTGTGCCCCATACAGTATGGTTCATAAGCTGACAAGGTTCTATTTAAGGTCCCATTTAGACTAATATGTTTTCGTTCTAAAACACATACAGTTTGCTATGGTTTCGCGATCCGTCCACACTGCTCCAGAGTTTTCGAGAATCAAAAACAAAGTTTCTTACAAACGCTGAAGAGGCCATTTTTGTTTGAAAATGCTGCTGCTCCGAGTCAGTGTAGATGGGGTAAAACAGAGATATCTGTAAACGGAGGCAGGGCTGCAGACATTCACCTCTCTAATTGGGCCTTTTTCCTCAATATTAAGTAGCCAACACAAAGTTCAGTTTTGCATCCTATCCTTGTAAGTTCAGACTTTGCAATACGGAAAACAATCTCCCGAGGACACGTCGGGTAAATCTTCAAAGGGAACAGTGTGCTTTATAACCTCATTTACATCACCCTGGCTAGGTTGTTTCACTTTCTTAGCAAAAAAAAAAAATTAAAACATGATTTAAGGAACTGCCGGTTTTCATTTTGGTATTAACAACTTAACAGACACCAAAAAAGATTCCTACACATACTATTCTTGTCATGAGCATTAAGGTGTGGGGGTGCTGAGGAGCAAAGTCCAGTCATGTCAAAGACTGACAGCCAGATGCTTTCATATGGACGCTGAGACGCTGACTTTTCATTTTCCAAAACAAATAATGGTTGCGTTTCACTTTATTTGCCTCATCCAGTAGGCCAACACAATGGTCCTTTTATTATAAACACTGTGACATTGCTGTAAACATGGTAACACAATTAAGCTAAAATCAGGCAAACTTGATAAAAACGGAACCACTTTCAAAGGTGTCTTTTAATTTCCTTTTTGAATTCACAATTATGCTTTACCGGAGTAAAAAATTAGACCCCATGACATTCTATAGGCATATGTAAAATAGAAAGCATAGGCTAATAATGATAATGATAGACTACATCAAAAGGTTATTTATTTATTTTTTTGTTGTTAAGTGAAACATATTAGTGTTTGTTGATTTTATATGAAAGTATTCCTCTCACAGAAGCACTGCAGGTTAAACTAGACGACGGTGCTCTGTTGCTTAGGCTGCTGTTGTTTGTGCATGTAAAATAAATCCCTCAAAAGATATTTTCAGGGGTCAAAGAAAGCTATTGATGGGAGAACACGTGCTTTTTATCGAGAAAGAAAACTGATACTACCCTGGTGTTTTGTTCATTTAGCCTACTTTGTAATATTAGTTACAATGATATAAATATTTGTTTTATATGTATAGATATTTTGTTTTTATATTGCAGTTTAAGGACAGGGATCCTGTGTGTTATATAGCCTACATCACTGTGGCAAAGGACTCTCAAGATCGCCGAAAAAAAGTAGGCTCCGCCAAAGGCCATGGTACAGTTCGAACACTGGAGCACTGTTTATAGAGCATTGCTGGGATTACTAAAATCTTGAAATTAGTAGTATTTGTTATTTTTTTTGCATATTTCTGGTTCTGTCATCCCTAAGTCATTGCTTTTTAAAGAGTTCCTGGTTAAATGTCTGAAATAAGTCTCTGCTTGACACAAGGTCAATTTATGTGCATGTATTTCCATACATTTGTATTTTCCCATCAACACCTAAGTACATGCACATACACTGGACTATAGGGGCTGTTGAGGACTAGAATCATTATCATGAACTTATTAATGCACTTGTAGAACCTTGTCAAACTTGACTTACAAACTAAACTAACTATATTCATACTTTTCAATTTGTTGAGGACCATGATGTAGGATATTTATGACTTAACTTCTACTGATAACATGTTGGGCCCTATCATACACCCGGCACAATGTGGCACAAGAAGCGACGCAATAGTTGTTTGCTAGTTTCAGCTCGATGCAAGAGTCGTTTCGACGTGTTGCACAACGCTGTTTAAATAGCAAATGTATTTGCGCTCATATGTGCGCTCATAGGCTATGCTATTTTAAGGATCTATAATAGACTGCAAAATAGACCAGATCAAAGCTGGTCTAAAGTCCAGCGCAGAGCGCATTAAACATTGCTTAATATACGCAGGATGTATAATACACAAATATCTTTACAAAAAAAAAACCCATTAAAGGATGAAAATATTACAAAAAATATTATTTTCTAGCCTACATAAATATAAAAACTACCGCCTCCATGCCTTCTTCATTTCGAGTTTTTAAAAAAAAAAAAAATTATTTATGGCAATTTGCTTTTGTAAAGTTTTTATTATTAGTATTAGTATTTATTATATGCTTATTTATATTTGTTTTATTAAAAACAAGCTTATATTTGTCTATGTGTCTAATTTAAGTGTCTAGATTTGTCTAACCTTGTCAGGTTTTAGATCATATAAGGCACAGCATGTGTATATAACTCAGTATTTTGAATACACTTCGTTATTATTGTTTATTTATTAGTTTGCTGTAAATTAGAAGTGAATTTAGAAATAGTTTTGAAACAAATCTTTGCGCTTAATAAATGAAATTAATTATGTATAGGCTAATGAATGTCTGTGCATACAACACGTTTCCCTATTCATGGAAGTGAAAGTGAAAGTAAAGAATGAGGAGGTTCATCTCTCCTGCTCGAGCTGTAGATGCTGTTTAGATGTTTTCTCTCTAGTGAAGCGTTCAGTTTTTCCACTTACAAAGACCGCTAGGTAAATAGCAAATGCGCCATGGCACGATGCACTTGACTCTTAAAGGGAATGGGAGATGAGACTCTGATTGGTTTATTCTCAAAACACACCTAAACCTCATTAAGAGAATAAGATCAACCCTGTTAGACCATGTGCCACAGCACAAAAACGATTTTTCCGTCCTTAAAATAGCAAAAGTGGATTCGGACATGCCCTGAATGCTTTTGCGCCCTGCGCTTTGTGCCTTGATCGTTAAAATAGAGCCCATTATGTTTATTTAAGTTTTGTTCATTTGTGAAAAATCTCTTCAAGAATCAAATCATTTTTGTTGTCAAAAGAGCTTAATTTCTGGTGTTTTCTAAATTCCAGTGGAAAATCATTTCTGACTTTTCTTGTGAGAACCCTGGTGATGCAAAATCACTCATAAAATACATCATCTCTTATTTTGTGGGAGGTTGACAGGTTATTGCAATGCAGTCAGTAGTTTTATTTTAAGTAGGGATGCACTGAAAAAAAAAAACTCATGCGAAACTAAAAATTCTGGATGCACTTGGCTGAGACCTACTTTGTAATAAATATTTAATAAATAAATTATTTATTATTTTATGATATAATATAAAGTCGTTTGGTAAGATGTTCATATTGAAAACTCAATAACTTAAATTATACAAATTTTTAAAAAGCCAATACAATAGCCACATTTAATTTCCAGTAACAGCAATCTGAAAGAAAAAAAAAGAAAAAAAAATTATATATATATATATATATATATATATATATATATATATATATATATATATATATATATATATATATATATATATATATATATATATATATATATATATTGGCCAAAGTAATTCTAAAAATTTTGATATTTTAAAGGATTTTGTTTATTTGTGTATTTATTTTATTTGTTTGTAACCCTACAAATCTAATATCTACAAAAAGTCATCATTATACTCTGTAATATGTTGACACTATTTCATGAATATTATTAAATCAAATCATGTATTGGAGGCAAAAATGCCAATATTTTCAGATCTTTTAGATAATAATTGTGGTCAGCACTGTGTTCATTTTAATTATCAATATATTATAAGAACTACGTCACTAAATTAGATAGGATGACTTTCTTTTTAACCTGTATAATGTAGATCAGATCCATGAATGAGAGGTGACTTTTTCCAGCATTACCATAACAGCACTGTATCACTATTCTCAGCCGCAGGAACAGGTATACAACACAGAAATGACGACTAGACATTTTCTTCTGAGCATGCACACTATATAATATATGAGTAGTGTCACAATTACCAGCGATCATATCCCAGTAGATCGCTGGTTTGCACTATAATAACTCATGGACTACAATTCCGCCATTGTTGGACTACATATTCATACATGCACTCCAGTCACACTCACACATGCTTCCTCATCTAAACTGATTCGCACCACCTGAGGATTGTCAGAAACTGATTGCACTCACTACTTAAGCCACAAATTCACCCTCTCAGTTTGCAGAGTCTTGTTAACTGTAAGTGACATTACAAAGCGTTTTCCTTGTCTTGTTTTCCCATATTTAGATCTTAGCCTTGTTTATCCAGTTCTCCTGTTTAGCCGCCTGCCTTCCGACCTATTGCCTGTTATTCGACTACGATTCTGGACTGTCTCCAAAGACCTGTTTGCACCTGTGTTGACCATCGCTTGCCTGGCTTTGAATAAACCTGCATGTGGATCCAAACCTTCTGTTGTCAGTGTCACTCCTCGAGATTACAAGTAGAATATCCACAGAGTGAAATAATGACCCAAAGTCTAAGCAACAGTGATGACGGATAGACAAAGAGTGAAACTTGCATGTTGAACATTGCTGCAAAGGAATACTTTTGCCTGTTTTTCTTTTTTCTGACAAAAACCGTACAGTAAATGTAATTTTCAGCCAATAATTTTGAAATAATGCTGAATTTTTGCTAAATACCTAATATTAATGTAGTTGTCACTAATTTCAACAGAGTTCCTAGCTCCCTGCTTTGTAAAACAAGATTTGTATAGAGGTTTAATATTTAGTCTTTGTGGTTTATTCAAATCAGAATGTGAGCAATAGTAGTAGTGACTGCTTTACCAGCACTAAATATCATAAGTTAAAATCAGAAGCACAGAATTAGAGAAGAGGCCAATGCATATGGTAACATCTAGTCACAGCCCCTTATTATTGTGCACCGCATGTCCTAAAGGGACTATATGGTGACTCACCTTTGCTCCTGTCTCTCCAGGCGCCCCTCGCCCTCCATCTGCCCCTGAACGGCCCTGCAAGGTGAAACACAGAATACCACTTGCTCATCATATTCTATGCACCACTGTGTGTGCTGCTTATGCAATATTCATGAACCCCAAAAAAAAAAAAAAAAAAACACAGCACATCAATATAGAAACTGCTGTCGCCCAATTCATATTCATGATAAAGTTCATTAAAATGGATCACACTTGAACTTTAATCATTGATTTTTATTTAACACCATGTGTGAGATGTTTAGTCTTACCCTCTTCCCTGGTTTCCCATTAGGACCAGCAGAACCAGGTAACCCCCGTGGCCCCTTAAAAGAGCGGAATAAGTAAAACACAGGCAGATGGAGATGGGTTTTAATGCAAAAAAAGGAAATATCCTCACCGGAGGCCCGTTCTCTCCAATGTCCCCTTTCAGTCCGCTGGGACCTGGAAGACCCTGAAACAAACATATATTTTGAAAGACGGAAGGTATCCGCTGAACCCAATAAAACCCAGAACTGTTCTGAATTTGAAGTAGATTTTGTAGACTGAAATAAACCAAAGAAGAGATGACAAAGGTTTCCTACCACTGGGCCTGGCCTCCCTGTGAGACCTAATGGACCTGGAGGGCCCTTCAGTGAAAGCTAGAAGCAAAGTAAAGCAAAAACACAGAGAAAAAAATGACAAATGTACTCATTCTTCACCCGCACCAGGTGCTTGTTGTAGATCTGCAGCATATATTGGTCGGTCTTATTTCCAACCATTAATAATGCATCACTGACAATCAAAAGTGTTCAATAACTTTAGTAAAGCATTAATTTAGACTGTAAAAATGCTGGGTTTCACACTGTACCTTCATGTTGTTCCAACACAAATCGATTAGGTTAACTTAACTGTTTTTACAAATTAACGTAGATTGAACATAAAACAAATAAGTTGTCCCAAAATATAATCCAGGAATTGTGTTGTTTCAGCTCATTTCAAATGAATTAAATAGTGTGAACAAGCAGCAAAAATAATAATTGAGAGTACATTAATATTTGGGAAGACTTTTTGAGACTTGTTGAGCTGCGCATTGATGGATTTGCTCTTCAGTGTTTGGACTTTCTGTAGTGAAAATTAAACCACACTAGGGTTGTGCGATTTGGGGAAATATCTTATCTTTTTTGAACATATATTGCGATTTTGATTTATTTTGCGATTTAATTTTGTAGTCAAGCTTCAGCTCAAAATTCTTTATCGTAGCTGAGTGTTACTTAAAGGAGCTGAAAAGATATCAACTAACCCTTTTTATTCACATTTATTTTAAAATATTCAGAAATTGAACACTATTTTTTCTCTAGAGCAAACATAGTGAGTTATGGTGTTATCTCCTGGTCCCTTCGTGATGTTTTTTTCATGTGGTGTAACTGTACAACTCTGCAAACAACTCTGAAATTGCACTTTGCTGTTGCTAGCTACTAGATTGAGTGTCGCTGGCAATACTTTTAGTTGACTTTTTAGCCTGTCACTTCTCATATAGCCGCATGTAGTGCTTTTTTAGGTGCTCATTGTTGTATTTCCTCATGCTGTGGCAACAACTCTGTGACAGCTTTTACAAATTATCTGTTTTTATTTGGTGTCTTTGACTTTGAAAAAAAAAATCCCATATTACTGACATGCTGTTTTTCTTTGAAATTAATAAATCTATTAACGCTTCTGAAACGGCAGACGCCATCATCCTATTTGTCCACGCTTTCTGTTTGTTTGTTTGTTTGTTTGTTTGTTTGTTTGTTTGTTTGTTTGTTTGTTTGTTTGTTTGTTGAACTTCAACTCTGAACACTGGACTGACATGGTTTCAGTTTACTAGAACTTCTATGTTAAGCTGCTTTGACACAATCTACATTATAAAAGTGCTATAGAAATAAACATGAATTGCATAATTTAGTTAACGAATATATTTACTGCTAACTAGTTGCTTATTAGCATCACATTATTTCAGTTTTTCTCAATTTCGGCAATTTTCTTAACATTTTCTAAACTGTAAGTACAAATCTCAAAACAGTTTGCAGAACTTTATTGTATGTCTGCAAAATTTAGTTACTCAAAACTTTTCACTCCTGCTTCAAAACCTAGTTATCGTGTCAGTAATTTGGCAAGGCTACCAAAACATAAAGTGTATTTGTCATCATTTGAATCACACAGCTCAAAATGCTTGGTTGTTCTTTTCACCATGACAGTCAACCATAGAAAGGTTTAAAGAAATCTGATATTTGTTGAGAATAGTGAACAGTACATAGAAAAACATAAACAAACACTTTTTTTTTATATTTCCCAAATGATGTTTAACAGAGCAAGGCACTTTTTACAGTATGTCTTAAGTATGCCTTAAAGTTGTATTTGTTTTGTTTTGGCTAAAATAAAAAGCAGTTTTAAATGTATTATGAACCACTTTAGGATCAAAATTATTAGCCCCTCTAAGCTATTTTTTTCTGACTGTCTACAGAACAAACTATCATTATACATAACTTGCTTAATTACCATAACCTGCCTAGTTAACCCAATTAACCTAGTTAAGCCTTTAAATGTCACTTTAAGCTGTAAAGAAGTGTCTTGAAAAATATCTAGTAATATAGTATTTACTGTCATCATGGCAAAGATAAAATAAACCAGCTATTAGAAATAAGTTAATAAAACTATTATGTTTAGAAACGTGTTAAAAAAAATATTCTCTCTATTAAACAGATATTGGGGAAAAGATAAACAGGGGGTCTAATAATTCTGGCTTCAACTGTATATACTTTATTGCAACCAGAGGTCATTTACCAATTTAGTAGACATTACAAACAATGTCAATATCAGATATTTATGGAGTAAATATACCATATGCCTATATATAAAAATGTTTGAGAATTGAATAAACAGTTTTGAGTGTGATGGCTTACAAGATAAAAAATAATTGAGAAGCTGTAAAGAGTTTGACAGTTTAAATGAGAATCGACTCATCAGTTTTTATCAACATGCAATAAGTTTTTGTCCAAACTATAGACAATTGTACTTACTGTTTGCACACATGTGCCAAAGCATTTGAAGTTTAATGCTTAAATCAATTAAAAAAATGCCACTCTCAAGTGAACAATATGCTAATTGTTTGGAGATCTATTGTTTTGAATTGAGAAGAATTGAGCCAAAACAATTGGGAAAAAGTGTAATATTATAGTATACTTGTTCAGCATTTTTTCTAATTTTTTTTTTTTTATTATTTATTTTACTATTAGCTATTTAAGAATGTAACTAAATGAGTTCAGAGAAAGAATCACATAGGGTTTTTTATTTTTATTTTTTGGAATAAAAACTCTAGTACACTATCGTTCAAAAGTATGAAGACAGTTCATAAAAATACATTTTAAAATCAGCAAGCCAAGCATGTATTGATCCAAGTTCATCCAAGTGACAGCTTTAAATGATTATAAAACATTAATTTCAAATAAGTTACGTTCCTTCAAAATCTTTGCCAATCTGTTGCATTGAAGCAGTGTGTTTTTTTTTTATCTCATCATAAATATATTGCAGTCAGCATTTATTGTGGATCAAAATTCACTCATTCATTTTCTTTTCAGATTAGTCCTTTTATTAATGAACCGCCAACTTATCCAGCATATGTTTTACACAGCAGATGCCCTTACAGCTGTAGTTACAATCTTTGGACTGTGGGGGAAACCAGAGCACTCGGAGAAAACCCATGCAAACATGGGGAGAACATGCAAACTCCACTGAGAAATGCCAACTGACCCAGCTGAGGCTTGAACCAGAAACCTTTTTGCTGTGAGGCAACTGTGTCACCCCTTGGATCTAAATTCTCCTAAATAACTATAATTAATTATTATTAATAAAACAATTATTGGTCGGTGCATTCTATTGTGGTGACTCCTGATGAATAAAGAGACTAACCCAAAGCAGAATGAATGAATGAATGAAAACAATTCTTGTCAATCATTATTTTTTCACATTTGAAGCATTTAATTAAAAATATTGTATAAATTATATCATAATATTGTATTAATATTCATAATGTACTATATTACTCTGTTTTAATCAAATAAAAGCAGCTTAAGTGAGCAAGGGAGACAAACTCTAAAACTACATGAAGCACATGATCAAGTTAATCAAACTGGTCTAAATGCATTATTTGGGTCCAAATACTTCAGAGCAAGATTACCCGATTTATCCATTCATTTGATAGTCACAGACTGAATTAACATTCAACTTATTTTTAAATAATATAACATTCAGGGCTGCAAGATATTGGGAAAAAAATGACATTTGTGGGGAAAGGCTGTTTTTTATTAGGAAAAAAATGTTTAGACTAACAACATTAATCAATCTTTTTCTTTTGTATGATACCATATATTAACAAAACATACTTCTTCTTTCTTACGCCTTATTCACACGGGGCTTCAACGTCAACGCTTGCCTGAAGGCGTGTCTGAAGTTGGGGCTGAAGCGATCATCATAAAAGCGTCAGCCAATGAAATCCAGTCAGCAATAGGCCACTGTCTGAGCTAGTGTATTTGCATACAGCGATCTGATTGGCTGACGCTTCCGTTGGCGCTTGAAAAGTTGAGCTAGTCCCAACTTCTGCAGCGAGCAACGCTTCTGAAGCGGTGCCGACGGATCCACAATGCAGTTCGGCAATGCTTGACATCACCCATTCAAAGTGAATGGGAAGCGTTGACGCTGACGCCCTGTGTGAATAGGGCGTTACTGTGTTGTATACTTCTTAGAAGGAATTGCTGACAAGAGGGAAAGAGCAGAGGTAACACTTTATTTTGATGGTCTATTTGAGTATTAGTAGACTGTGTGCTTAATATCTGCTGATACTGCTCCTTCGACAGACATTTAACTGACTATAAGAAACTTTGCAAGTACATGTCAACTTATAGTAACCCTAATCCTAACCACAACCTAACAGTCTACTTATAATCTAATGAAAATTAGTTAGTATGCAGATGCAATGTTACTAAAATTCAACAAACAGACCATCAAAATAAAGCATGACCATAGCAGTAAGAGAAATAGTTGCGTGTATGTTTGTGCTTCTGGTTCTGTCTAACATGAAGTCTAGACATGTCACAAGAAGCTGGATGCTTGTAGAAGTTGTGAAATATATTCAAGATGCACTTAAATGTTCAGTTCTGGTATACAGAGAAGGGTTGCAGAAAGAGGAAGTATGTTTGGGTGCAACCACCAAAGGACTGTAGAATGACTGACAAGTGAAGTAAGGAAATGTAATTTAGTTGCGAACCCTAGGAATGCAATTCTTGTATTGCAATGGGTTAAGGTAACCCAAAGCTCTGTCCTAAAATTATTTATTTGTATCTGATAATTTACTGATATTTTTGACATTGAAGAAAACCCTCTCTTGACCTTTTTTTATTGAACATGGATGGAATTGGAAAGAAAATCCAACACATTGCATTATTTTAATTTACTGCATTATATGTTGCAATATAAATGCAATTTGACCAGATGACCTGAATAATTTGTAAAGACTTTTGAAATGACTCCACTACTGTTTGTTGTTAAGTGTAATGTCTGGTCAGCTATTATCCCAACTACATTGCAGATCCCTGTGATGTGACTATGCAGACTCGAACATTCCGATATCGATGCTGAAACGAAATATTGCAGCCCTAGTTCAGGTAAATTGATCTCTCAATCACTGTTTATGTACCAAACCTCAATATTCAGGTGGATTACGATTTGATCCACTCCCTAAATGTGCAATTACATTAAATTTACATTAATTCATTTAGCAGACTCTTTTTATTCAAAGCAGCTTACAAATGAGAGACAAAAACCAAAACATGAGCATTAGTGAAATGCTTACTTTGGTCTGCTGTAAGATGGCTTGAGCCTGTGCCTGCTGAGCTGAAATCATGGGTCCTTTCTGAGAGTCTCCTCCATAGTGGAACTGAAAGCATTAAAAAAGATCTAAATATGTCATACGCATCAAGTAACTCGATACTTAAACACATTAGCACACAAATAAATGGAAATATACTGGATGATATTGAATCTGATTAGATCACAGCTCCACCATGTGGCCGAAATACGCTATTGCTTTAGCTTCATGCTTTGTGATGTTAATGTTTTATTATTTTCCTCTTGGCAAACAACTCTCGCTAATGCGATGCAAGTGGTTTAAATGGAATGACTTCATCTTACGGGTAACATGAGCATAGTGCCTGGAGGACCCGGTATCCCATCAGCACCAGGCAGCCCCGGACGTCCCTCTGGACCCTTTGCGAGAAGACAAACAATTAGCTCAATTTATCGATGGAGCATTTCTGTGTACACAATTGTGTTAGCAATACATAATTTACAAAACAAACGCATGAGCAACAGCATTCCTCAGTTATTCGAAATCCGTTTGCTTATTTCCTGAATGCAGTATAACACCTAATTGATTTTTTTTTTTTTGAAGTGTTGCCTGAATCAAAGTACTTGATTTGCCTGCCTTAAAAAAATTTAAAAACACAGCAATCATTCGCAGGTCCTCTCTCAACAACACAACTCTTCACCCATATCTAAATCTGATACAAATATATGCAAATTACATTAGCAGATGTGGACAAAACAGCTGGGGTTCTTCCATTGAAAAAAGAAAAACTGAAATAACATGAAAAAAGAAATGACTTGTCGAAAATAAGCTTGTCAGATATTGCTTTCGATATGTGGTTCAGCTAAAGATTTAAAAAATTAGGTAAATAAGGGTGTAGTATTGGCATCCCTACAAACAATTTAATCGATTTCAAAATAAAATTAAGTTCCATCAACCCTTAGCAACCTACTTGAGTACAAAGGGTTAAAGTCAAGTTTGCTATGAGTTCACAATCATACTGTTAACCAAGGCTGTGCAATAAATCAATATTCAGTTTCCAATTTAGCCTTCGTGATTATGAAAAACAATAATTGGGATAAAACTGCTAAATTGCATCACACACCTCTCTAAATTTCTCTACATTCACACCTCCTCAAAGCTAGATTGCAGTTAAATCATGTACATGACTTTTGCAGCATGGAATGTGATTCATTAATTGTTATTTGCATCATTACGTGTTTATGTTAAATTATTAAGTACTTTATTCATGTCTTTAAATGTTTTTAAAACATTTTGCATGCGCTCTAGGGATGTAGGTCCCCACCAATGTCAAGAGCGAATCTACAGCCTTGGTAAACATATATATATTATATATATATATATTCTTTCATAAACTTACACATGGACATTATCTACAGTATATGCTATAAAACTGCAGGTTAACTATGTTTATATGTAAGTTTATATGTAACTTATATTTGATTGTAACTTAAAACTTCATTTGATTGTAATGCAATAATTTAGTTAATAAAGCTGCTTAGAAACAATAATTATTGTAAAAACCATTATGAATGGATGGATGGATGGATGGATGGATGGATGGATGGATGGATGGATGGATGGATGGATGGATGGATGGATGGATGGATGGATGGATGGATGGATGGACGGACGGATGGACGGACGGACGGACGGACGGACGGACGGACGGACGGACGGACGGACGGACGGACGGACAGACATATAGATAGATATATAGATAGACAGACAGACAGACAGACAGACATATAGATAGATATATAGACAGACAGACAGACAGACAGACCAACAGACAGACAGACAGACAGACAGACTTATATATAGATATATAGACGGACAGAAAGACAGACATATAGTTATATATATATATATATATATATATATATATATATATATATATATATATATATACGGACAGACAGAAAGACAGACAGACATATAGATAGATATATAGACAGACGGACAGACAGACAGTCATATAGATAGATATATAGACGGATGGACAGACAGACAGACAGACAGACAGACAGACAGACAGACAGACAGACAGACAGACAGACAGACAGACAGACAGACAGACAGACAGACAGACAGACAGACAGACAGACAGACAGACAGATAGATAGATAGATAGATAGATAGATAGATAGATAGATAGATAGATAGATAGATAGATAGATAGATAGATAGATAGACAGACAGACAGACAGACAGACAGACAGACATATAGATAAAATATACAGACAGACAGACAGACAGACAGACAGACAGACAGACAGACAGACAGACAGACAGACAGACAGACAGACAGACAGACAGACAGACAGACAGATAGATAGATAGATAGATAGATAGATAGATAGATAGATAGATAGATAGATAGATAGATAGACTATATAAATGTTGCAAATATAACAATTTTTTTACATTTAAAATCCAAATATGGACTTGTATGTTATATATGTAATTTGCATATATCATCTATCAGTTTTCACTTCTTTGCATTTCCGTTCCAGAAATATTCAAAGATCTCTACAGACACAGACGGACTAAAAGAGCATACATCTCAAGCAAATGCACTTTCTCAGCCTAGTCTTGAGATTTTTGCTAAATCTCAACCCTTTGTGAAGCTGACACCCCAGAGAAGTTGATTCACAACCGGCCGGAGGTGCTAAACTGAGCGAAGACAAAAGAATAATCTATCTCCATCTGCACTGTCAGAGGTAAATGATGAATTTAGGCCCTTTACGGCAGTTGGAAGTCTCACCCTGCTAAGGGATTGTATGTAAAGAGTGAGTCACGCTACAAAAACAGACACACTGTCCGGAGGAAATTAGGTCAAATTATCAGATGAGTCACGGCTCCCTGAAGCCTAAGGTCTCGGTAGAGGTTGTGGTCCCTTCGAGCAGCTCTGAGTCATGGCTAAGGTTTGCTCCATCCGCAAATGAGTCCAATAATCTCCCCCGAAAATTGTCCTGTGTGTCCTCGACTGAAAGTTCATGCCGGGTCAGGTGATTATGAGAACACTCACCACATCACCTGGGTCTCCGCTGGGTCCCGGGGGTCCTGTGATTCCAGGAATTCCTGGAAGACCCTTGGGAACAAAGAGAAACCCAAATTAAAAACCTTATGAAATCACTTTAGAATATCTCGTTCATCATTTCCTATTTGTTTTTCAAAAGTTAATGTACATTTTTTTCCACAACAAAGTCTTTTTTTAATTAAAGCATAGATATATACACTAGATATCGCATAGGGACCCTGAGCATGCGTCAATAACGCCGCCACATTGCTACAGTGCTCCCAGGACAAATGTCATTCAACCGCACAAGTCAAGACAGTGTTATTACGTGAAGATGTGGGACTTTAGCGCTGTCTACGGGTGTAGAAACGAACAAACAAAGAAATTAAAGCACAAAGGCAGAACATTTCATAGGTAATATTAAGTTTTTTTTCTGTTTTTGTATGTTCTGAACTTTTGTGCTAATCAGGTAACGTTATTGATGATAACAGTCACTTACTGCATTCACCATAAGCCAAAGAAGCTCCAACTCGCACTAAACACTCGGCTTATGCTAGTTTTGTTGAATAAAATCAGCAAACAATGCAAAAGAAATATGACAACGAGATGCTGCGGTGCCAGAAACATGTATTATTGTCGGCTAATGTTAGTGAAAGAGTCGTTCGGGGGATTCATTCACAAACGAATCGCTCCCTCCGTCAGTATGAGAAGTGAAAGCAGGAGAGGAGCTGTGTTTCAGGGCACGAATTAGATCAAATTTAACAGGGAGGTTGAATAGTAAATGTCTGTACACACAAACACAAGCTTTTTGTCAGGATCTGGCGAGAGCACTTTTAGCTTAGCTTAGCATAGACCATGGAATCGGATTAGACCATTAGCATCTTGTTAAAAATGACCAAAGATTTTCGATATTTTTTTCTTTGTAAAGAAGTATACTAAGACAATGAGAAAATAAAAGTTGCTATTTTCTAGGCTGATTTAGCTGGGAACTATATTTACACTCCGGCGTAATAATCAAGGATCTTTGCTGATGTACCACGACTACAGCAGACACAATGATAGTACGCAGAATCTGAAAGTAGTCCCCAGCACTAAACCCTACACTTGCACTACCGATTAGAATCTGTATAGTTTCTATCCCTATTGGCCTAGAAAATGGCAACTTTTCCTTTTCTGTCATGACATTTACATTTTACATTTACATTTAGTCTTTTAGCAGACGCTTTTATCTAAAGCAACTTACAAATGAGGACAAAAGGAAGCAATTTACATAACAATAAGAGCAACAATGAATAAGTGCTGTAGGGAAGTTTTAGGTATGTAAAGTGTAAGAAGCAAAACATTAATAATTTTTATTATTTTTTTTTAATACAGTTATTCAGAACCTGAGAGGCAATTGCAGATGAGGAAGGGAAGTGGAGACTAAATAGTTGAGTTTTTAGTCGTTTCTTGAAGACAGCGAGTGACTTTGCCTTTCTGATGCAGTTAGGGAGTTCATTCCACCAACTGGGCAGATTGAATGCGAGAGTTCGAGAAAGTGATTTCTTCCCTCTTTGGGATGGAACCACGAGGCGACGTTCATTTACAGAACGCAAGTTTCTGGAGGGCACATAAATCTGCAGAAGTGAGAGCAGATAAGGAGCAAAGCCAGAAGTCGTTTTGTAAGCAAACATCAGAGCTTTGAATTTGATGCGAGCAGCAACTGGCAGCCAGTGCAAACAGATGAGCAGTGGAGTGAAATGTACTCCTTTAGGTTCATTAAAGACCACTCGTGCTACTGCGTTCTGAAGCAGCTGAAGAGGTTTGAAAGAGTTAGCTGGAAGCCCGGCTAGTAGAGAGTTGCAGTAATCCAGTCTGGAGAGAACAAGAGCTTGAACAAGGAGTTGAGCTGCATGTTCAGATAGGAAGGGTCGGACCTTTCTGATGTTATAGAATGCGAATATGCAAGATCGAGCAGTTCTACAAATGTGGTCAGAGAAGTTTAGTTGGTCATCAATCATTACTCTAAGGCTTTTCACCGTTTTGGATGGAGTAACGTATAGAAGTCTTGTCGTTGATCTCAGTGGTAAGAGCAACAAACAATAACTTGACTTCATGTTGATCATTTGGAAAAGTGGCAAAAGGTAGATGTGGCGAAGGGGCATGGCCGAGAGCCGTGGGAACAGAATGAGGCCGCCGCGTAAGTGGATGCACCTGCGGTCGAATCGAATCCCACAGAAGGAGCTCTGGACAATAAAAGGAGGGACGATGGCAGAGGGAGTAGAGAGAGGACCGGGCCCGGGCATATTGTTTTACTTTTGTTTTCAGTTTGACGGCAGTCTCCGTGCGGAGCTGCCGTTCGTTTGTTTTGGTTTAGACGGCAGACTACAACAGTCCTATTGGAACCCACATGGACCCAAGATTGTCATAGAAATCAGTCAAGTTTGGTGAAGGAAAAATCATGGTTTGGGGTTACATTCAGTATGGGGGCATGCAAGAGATTGATTGGATGTAGACGGCAACATTGACAGCCTGAGGTATCAAAACATTTGTGCTGCCTATTACATTCCAAACTATAGGAGAGGGCAAAATCTTCAGCAGTATAGCGCTCCTTCTAATACTTCATCCTCCACATCGAAGTTCCTGAAAGCAAAGAAGGTCAAGGTACTCAAGGATTGGCCAGCTCAGTCACCAGACATAAACTTTATTGAGCATCTCTGTCTGGGCTAAGATTAAGTAGGAGGCATTGAAGATGAATCCAAAAAATCCTGAAGTCAAGCTATTATTTGTTGTTCCTAAAACTTGGAAAGGCGACAAGTGTATATGATGTATATGTTAGTGTATATGATGACCAAATCATAATAATATTCTGACTTACTTGTGGACCTGGTGGGCCGGGAGGTCCTTGAAAAACTGCACCCTAAGACACAAGGAGATTAGCATCAGATTACTGTAGCCAAAATGCATCAGTGTGTGTAGGTGTGTGAGCGAGTGAGTGTGTGTGAGTTTCACACTTCGGCACTCACGGGTTCAACGACAGCTGGCTCTCCCTTCTGTCCTTTTGCAAATCGCACACCCTGATGGAGGAAGAATAGATTGAGATCAGTTGAGATCCTGGCTACAAGTTGAGATTAAAGAGGTTACGATACACTTTAATAGTCAATAACAATGTGTGATTTTAGGACTAGTGAATGTTCTAAGAAAACATGCTAATTTGTTTTTATAAAAATGTGATATACTTTTCTTTTAAGTAGAAAAAAACATACATATTAAAATTCAATTAATGGATTTGTATTCTACATATTTATTTAACACTGAAGATAAAAACAAAAACAAAGAAACAAACAAGCAAATAAATAAATCAAAGCAGATGGAAAGTGATAATGTGTGTGATACAAGAATATTACAGGTATTCTCAGTCCCTTTGGTGCGTTTCTCACAAAACCAGTGCATTTCTGATCAACAGTTAAAGCATTTCTTAAAACAATTAGCACAAACTGCAAAACCTAGCTGATAACCTGCAAAAGCGCGTCACATGCTCAAAATGGATAGTTCATTCCTCAAAAGCAAGTATTCATGTCAATCAAAGTGTCAGTATCATCAAAATGAAAAGTCCTGACACTATTGTTTATGAACAAGATAGTCAAATGGCTTTGTTGTGTTTTCATTATGAGTTTACTCTGGACATTTTTTCAATGCAAAAAAGTCAGATGTTGGTGACACCTCCTGAAAATGCTCAAGACAGCACTTTATACTATTTGCACAGCCATTCAACATCACTGCATTTAGTGAGGTATCTGAGTACAAGTCACTGAATATGTATGTTTCACATTTTTACTGCATTTGCTTGTTGCAATTCTTATTTATTCACAGCATTGTGCAAAAGAATAAATACACCCTTATTTACAACAAGCATAAGCTTCCTTTGGGTAAAGCTGGGCACAACTGTAAACTATATTGCAGAACATATTGCAACTGAACCTACAACATAGGTCTGTAAATCATTCATGAAATTGTTCATTTTAGAAGACATTTTCAGAAAAATAGATTTATTTTTTTAAATATAAAATTAGCTTGACAGACTTTGACAGCTAGTTCAACATTTGTGTATGTAATTAAATAGTAATTAAATGAGGACTATTAGTTTTATTTGCAATGACTAATCAGAATTTACAAGTTTAGTTACAGTTTTTCTTTACAGTTTGCTTTGACCTGGTTAAAGAAACTAGGTTCCACTTCATTTTCACTATCCCAGCAGAGCAGAAGACAAGTCTTGCAAATGTGTAAACCCTTTCTCATTGGGTTGACACATTTTCCTCACCATTTTTCAAAACAGTTAACACGGATGTCATTTAAGCAGTCCAAACTCAATTGTTTTAGCTATGGTAATCAAACAGAAACCATCTATTCCTAACCATTAGAAACTACCAAGATCAGTTTGAATTCACTGAAGCAGCGGTTTTACACTCCTTCAATAGTGGCTACGTCCTATACTCCCAATAGATTTGACTGTACATTGGTTTAAATGTGTTTTCTTTAATATTTACAGTATTTTATTTATTTTGTCTGTTTTTACAGTATTTCAGTTTTCAGCCACAGTTTGAAAATTGTAATGAAATCAATATAAATTTAATCAAAGCATTTCTTATTCTGGATCCAATTCTTTGCAAAAAGGCAAATTTGACAGCCCAAATAGGAAGACAACAAATGGCATTGGCAATAGGCTACAATGACAAGCAATGGTGGTGCACTGACTTCTGCATTTTGTATTTTGTTGTCCATTGTGTAATGATTAATTGAAAGAGCTCATATACCTGTTTGCAAGTTGTGTTGTTTGAAGGTAAAACTAGCTTTTGTTGCAAATTTTAAATGTTTTGACACAATATGTGCCTTTTGCAAGCATAATGTGTCATTTTGACCATGAGTGCTGCTGTTTAGGCCTGTGTGTTAACCGTTTTGAAAAGGTGGAGTTTCAGTTGACAACTGCATCTAAGCAGTCAAGAAAAAACTGTAATTTTGACTCACATGACATAAGCAAATGATAATGTTATAAAAAGCAGAGAGTTGTATGAAAACAATTGATGCATGTCCAAAAGCATCTGTAATTTGCTGGAAGGAATGAGCAACTACTAGGATGTGCACAAATGACTAATTGTTTTGAGAAATGCATTAACTGTTGTGCAAATGTAAATAGTGTTGTGAGAAATGCACCAAAGCGACTGAGAAAAATTAACTATTTTAATGAAAAATGTAATGCATTAAAAAATTAAGATAAAAAGAATCTTTAGCTCTCAGAATTAAATAAACATCTTTTTAAAGTCTATATGAACACCACTGTAAGTAAGCATAAAACATAAATAACAAATAAAAATATTTTCTTACTCATTTACAAACTAATTTATTTACTTATTTGCTTATCTATTCATGTATTTACTTATTTCTTTCTTTACTTGTTTATTTACTTATTTACTTATGTATTTATTTATTTACTTGTTTACTTTTTCATTTATTTACTTATTTTTTACTTGTTTATTTATTTATTTACATATTTTTTTATTTATGTACTATATATTTATATACTTATTTATTTTTTGCTTATTTATGTATTTATTTACTTATCTATTTGTTTTCTTATTTATTTAAGCCTTTACCTATTTAGCTATTTATTTATTTGTTTATTTATGTACTTATTTTTTTAATAATTCATATACTAATTTAGTTATTTAATTATTTATTTACTTATTTAGTTTATTTATTTACTTTTTTACTTGTTTAATTATTTGTATTTACTTATAAGCTTATTTATTTATTTATTTTTGCTTATATTTTATTTATTTATTTATTTATTTTTGTTTGCTTGTTTGTTTACTTACTCACTAATTTATTTATTGGTTTATTTATTTATTTATTTATTTATTTATTTACTTTTTAATAATTTACTTATTTTTTACTTGTCTATTTATTTATTTACTTATCTATTCATTTATTTATATCTATTTACTTATTTTTACTTATGTTTTTTTTATCACTTATTTACTTATTTTATTTATTTATTTATTTATTACTACATTTTACTTATTTTTATTCACTTGTTTATTTATTTATTTATTTACTTGTTTCACCTGTTTATTTATATATTTTATTTATTTATTTATTTAATTAATTATTTAATTATTTTATCCATTTATTTACTTGTTTACTTTTTATTTATTTATTTATTTATTTATTTATTTATTTATTTATTTATTTATTTATTTATTTATTTATTTATTTATTTATTTATTTACTTAATATTTATTATTATTGTTGTTGACTACTGTTCATTTTGCATCAACTTATATTTATGAAACTGCGAGTAAGTAAGCTTCGTTAGTTCAGATCTGAAAAAGAAATGTATTTGTGTATCTGTGTCAGGTTATTTATTATAGAGTTAGAAAGAGTACTTCTCCGCCCCATGTGTCTGGCCTTTCCCTCTCTGCATGGTCAAATCGCTCCTCATAAATCTCATACTCTTCATATTCCAGCTCGTGGCTGTCTGAGGCATTTTTAAACTCCTCGTACTCCAAGACCTGTGAATGCACAAAACAAACCAACATCAGGGTTTCACCTTAGAAAATGTTCATAATGGTCAAGGACCGGAAGCAGAAATAAGCACTCATACCTCATAATCAGTGATATTGGGGCCGACTGTCACTGTGGAGACTGAGAGCACATTGTGCTGATCGCCGTAAAGGTCATCACTAAACTCCTCGACCTCTGGTGTTTTAATCGGCCTCTCCTGCTGCACACCGACAGAGGAGCAAAGTCAGATACGACAAAGCCATGGCAACCGCAACCATGGAGATACTGAGCACAGTAAGTCACTTCCAATCCACTCTAAAGCTTGAAATATAGTCTACACAAGTACATTCGTGCAAATGCGAAGTGTATGAAAATGCAATTCGACAAAACGCGTTTTGTATTTTTTTGTATTGGTATACAGTGAATGTTAGCAAAAATGTTTCTTGATCGATGCTTTTATCTCTTTAAATTCTGCTAGTACCATGGCTTAGCACCACTTAATACTCAAAATGTTCAAACCATAGTTGTTTTTAGTGTGAACAGCTTTTAACTCATGCTTCAATGCAACTCTTTGAATACTTGAGTATCAAGTAATGTACTGCAATACCAAGATTTGTTTGCAATGTAAGAATGCAAAATTTCTTTCACTGATATTTGAGTCCCAAGAACTGAGTACTTGATTTCTTGGGACTCAAATACTAGTGAAAGAAATGTGTGTTTGCGCATTACCACCAAATAATATTACTCCAGTACACATCACTCAAATATTCATTTTCAATAAAAAAATTATATTTACATATCACTGAAGGTACTAAGCACTCAAGTAGGTGATACTCAACTCTGAAGAGTGCACTCTTGCATTACATACAAACCTTGGAGGTACTCAAATCTCAGTCACAGAAATACTGAGTACTTGTGTACCATGACTTGCTCTGTATGTAATGCAAGATTGTACACTTATTTAACTCCAATTTGAGCATCACGTACTTGAGTACTGAGTACATTCACTTAAATAAGAACCAAATTCTAAATTAAAGGTGCAGTATGCAAGTTTGACACCCAGTGGTAGATCTGGGTATTGCATTCCTGGATCAAAACACACGCAAGCACAGGTGGCTTGATTGAGGGCCAACAGGAGCAACTATAGCACCCAAAGGCTGGTTTAAATCGTGTTCTATATAAAAGCAACGACACGCAAGGAGTTTTTGTTCTAACAAACACCTAAAATTTGTGTTTTAGTAGCAGGTTCTGTTTCTTGTAGCTTATAACTGCAAATCTCATCTGTAGCGTTTTGCTAGGACACTGGGTTACAATGTAACCTGTTTACCTAATGTTTACGCACATAATGTTTATATTATTTGCTAATTAATAACCCCATGTGGAACTCTGAATTTGCATCTCATTTCGGAGTCTGCTACTGTCCACCGAAGGGCACATTTCGGTCACGGGAGCATGCTTTGAGAGCCTTTCTGAATGAATGAAATACATGGTTTTTCAACAAGGCAACCGAAGGTGCTGAAATATAATTTTCTAAAGTTTTAGTGGGCAGGTTAAAAGAACCAAAACAACGACAGCGTTCTGGCACGTAAAGTAGTGACTTTCGGATAAAGATAACAATCGTTTTTCAGATAAACAAGAATGTTCACTTCAGCATGTTTCTTAAATATCTGCAAACATATTATGGTATTTTAAGCCTTAGAAGAGTGGAAAACATACACACTGCACCTTTAAGTATTTTTTTTCAGAGTATTTCAGTACACACTACTTGATTACCAAGATTTTTTTGTAATGCAAGAGTGCATGTTTATATGGTGAAGGATGGAAACTGTTTACCATCCACCTATTTTGATGCGCATTTTGAAATATAGCATTTAATTAATGGTTAATGGAAAGGCTAAGATGCTCAAACGTTTTTTAAAACGTGCATTAAAAAGTGTACAAAAAGTTATAAAAAAAGTTAAAAATCGCACAACTGAATAGTATATATATATATATATATATATATATATATATATATATATATATATATAAACAAAACAATTGCACAAAATCTTTAAAAAATATTTTTAAAAATTGCACTAAAACACTTTTAATATGTATTATTTAATAAATTCCAGCAGGCGCACCAAAAAACATGATTTTGTTTTAACAGATCACATAATAACAAAAGTGTGTGATTCAATGGCATTAATTGGTAAACTAGTGGACAGTCCACATTGCAGAACATCTGAAATGCTGCTTAAAGTCATTCTAAAATAGCTTAATCTAAGTCTGTCAAGATGTTTGGTATTATTGCCTCCGAGAACAAAAAAAAGCTATTTTGATTATTAAGAGCTAAAGATTTTGTTCCCTTTTACTATTCAGATGGCAACAGTGCTTAAATTTGCAAATAGTTCATGCAATATTCCAGTTTTGCACATGAGTCTAATTCACATCTTTGTATGGAACCATAGCTATTGCCAAGACACTTTGTCATGTAGCAACCAAGCATTTGCAATTGCATTTGTGTACCTGCTTAGAGTTTATTTTTGGCTTAACTGTGCTTCACATCTCCAACACACAGTTGAGTAATTAAAATGTTAGTGCAATTCACAGGTGCAGATTTTCAAAAACATTCTGGTTATAAAGCCGGGTTCAAGGCATAAATACAGCTGAGCAGGTGAGTGTGGGGTAGGAGGTTTTATTAACAAGAGGAGATGTCAGCGCAAAAGCCGTATGTTCTGGTGGCAGCCATAACAGCATGAAAAGGAGGGGTGAGCAAACTTGGCACACTGATATTGGCATCCGAGTTCTACCTCAGCAAAAGCTTGATTCATACAGTAAAAACCACATCTATCAGAACTGTCAGAGGTAAATGTATCAAAAAGATGCATGAAAATGAATGGATGTCAGACACTGTCCTCTTTTTCATTCTGTCTTGAAGGGCATCATTCTGATTCAATCTAGCGTGCCAAGTCAACAAATAAAACTACACTCCAAGTGTAACACTACGCCAAAACCTGAATAAAATATACATCATGTCTCGCACTCAACTTATCAAATGTGTCACTGTTGAAACGAGCCATGATACATAAACATTTTGAGTCTACAAACTACAATTTTTAAGGCCATATCTATAGGAAACAGATTGGGTAACACTTTATTCTGATGGTCCCTTTTAGATGTTCTTTTAATTGTAAATTAACTGGTAACACTTTATTTTAAGTCACAATTCATGCTATTAACAACCCTTTAACTAAGACTATTATCCCAATAAATTGCTAATTTGCTGCTTAGTAAGGTTGTAAATCTTTTGGGTAGTGGACCTTTGTAATGTAATAGACCTTTTGGGGTGTTTTGGTAGGATTAGGGATGTAAAAATGGACATACTTTTTTAGCAAGGGTGCCCAAACTCAGTCCTGGAGGGTCGGTGGCCAGTAGAGTTTAGCTTCAACTTGCCTCAACACACCTGCCAGGACATTTTAGCAAGCCTACTATACAGCAAGCATTTTTTGTTTTTAAAAGTTGTCTAATAGATGTCTAAACATAGTCATCAAATAAACAGAAATGATTGACTACACAAATAAGTCTGTCTAATCTGTCTATTTGACGACTAATGTAGTTTTGGCCTATTGTTAGATATCTATTAGATTTTTACTGACAGCCCAAGTTTAGCATTGTTTTGGCCAAGCTGTCTACATTTAGATGTCTATTAGACATCTATTAAGTGAAAACTTGTTTGCTAGGTAAGAGTTTGATTAGCTAGCCCAGGTGTGTCTGATTAGGGTTGGATCTAAACTATGGAGGACACCGGCCCTCCATGAACGAGTTTGGGCACCCCAGCTTTAAAACTACTAATATACAGTTAATATCCTAATGGTAGGCTAGTAATAAGCCAATGATTTGTAACAAACTAAAGTGTTACCAGTTAGCGTTGCAACAAAATATAAAGTATCATCCGGGGTTTAGTAAATTGTCTGCTTAATGCTATGAACAGAATTAAGCTTTGCAAGAGTACATGTCAAGCATTCTACTAAATTAAATATTAGTCTACTTCAGGCACTTCTCCACTGCATGTTACAGAGCAGTTCAGTTTGGTTCGACTACCTTTTGGGGCTTTTCCATTAAGTTCCATACCTTGTACCTGGTACTCTTTTTAGTACCACCTTGGATGAGGTCCTAAGAAAGATATAACATTACTAAACTGTGACAAATAGACACTGCGTGGTGACAGTTATTGGTCTTAAGGTGCTTTCACACTAGCACTTTTAGTCCACACCCGGGTTCATTTGACATCAAAGTTTGGTACATTTAGCTAGTGTGAACGATGTCTTCTGAACTCGGATGCACACCCACGAACCATACCCGAGTCCGCCTGAAAGAGGTGGTTTGGGGAACAGTTCATGCAAAAACGGTATCTTTGATACGGTTCACTTCTGATATGAATGCAATCATACCAAATAATGGAAGTGAATTGCTAACTGTACAACACACTTTAGTTTTAATAACATTCATTCGTCTGTGTATCTACCTTGGCGACAAGCTGGACTGACTCAGTGCAAACAGTGATAATGTCTGCTTGTCTCCAGCAAAAACGACTTCTACAGACATCACATGATGTTCTGGATGGTTTATTATTTTTGGGGCAGACAGATGCAAGTGACTCTCTGTATTTTGGATTTGGTAGCAAAAGCAAAAGATTTAGTAACAGTAAAATGACCATATGCATATGTCTCAATTTTGCTGCTTTGCTTTCATGGCCGTCACCTAGCAACAGCTGTACACAAAACAGCAACTTGATGACACAAGAGTAATAGGGTTCAGAAGGAAAAAAGATGGTGTAAACACAAGCTGAGAAGGGGGCAAGGATGGATTGAACCAAGTGTGAAAGCACCCTTAGAAAATCACCACAACCAATGTTACATCTAGGGTCATTGGATTTGTGGCACAAAATATCAAACCTGCTATACTATAGTATATTGAAATATTCAGTAGCAGCCACTGTTGCATTGTTGGTTGGCACTAAACCATTGCTATACCTGCAAGAAAAAGATACCTTAAGTGGCAGAACTACTTTTGGTAGAAGAGGTAAAGACTTTCCTCGTGTTGGTAGGCAAAGAGTAGATTGAGCAAGAGCTGGATGGGACATCCCCAAATAAAAATATTTATGTCACAGCAGAGGAGTCAGCTCAACTATAATAAAAATCTCACCCACTTAAAGGGGTACTAAACTGAAGTGTA